GGCCTAATTAATTAAAATATTCAATTTATTATTTATCGACCTACTGAATGGCATCAGTATTTCTGTTCATGTAGTTTGCTAGCAATATTGAGCTGTCACTCAACCCTTATGATTGCTGATATGCAGGCATGAAACTCCTCAGGTTGAAATACCTAGTGCACACGATAACAGTGTGTGGGATCTTGCTTGGCATCCAATCGGCTATCTACTTTGCAGGTATCAGACATAATTTGGCGAGTTTTTCATTTGTTGTTAATGATTTAAGTGAGCCTTTACTATGTAAACTCTCATATGGAATCCCCTACTTTTATTTGTTCAGATATATGACCTATTATGTCCTATCAATATAACCTCATCTTTTCTATTAATATACAACTGTTTAAGAAAGGTACTATTGCCATTTTATAGTGCTGTCTGATTTATAATCTCTATGCAAAATGTATATTTATGAGCTTTTTTAATATAGTCCGACTAGGGCATGGCTAGTTTGATACTAATTGTCATCTTGATCACTGCAGCGGGAGCAATGATCACACAACCAAGTTTTGGTGCAGAAATAGGCCTGGAGATCTTAGTCGTGATAAATACAGTCTTGGTCAAACTCCTGGTTGGTCATGCTCTCTGCCTTTTCAAGTCTTTTTGTTTGCTATTATGTGATTTTTTTTTTCATTTGATCTATGTGCATGATTCTTTATATTGAAAAAATGAGGTAAAAACTTAAGACTCAACTCTGTGATGGTCTTTCCAGGTTATGGTGATCAAAATCCTATTCTGTCAGGTCGTGGTGCCAGTGGTTTCTCAGCATCAGAACCTCCACCGACTCCTGGACCATTTGCTGTCGGATTATCAAGAAACGAAGGGACGATTCCTGGTATTGGAGTTGCAATGCCTTTGTCTGTTCCATCTATTGACGGCTCTGATCAAGGAGAACAGAGGCAGCCTTTTCCCGGCAACATGCCTCCTGGGGCACCTCCTCTTCCACCAGGTCCTCATCCATCTCTTTTAGCATCTGGTCAGCAGCAAGTTTACCAGCAGGTTCCTCCTGTTCACCAGCAGCATCAGCCATTTTCACAGCAAATGCCTTCGATGCCAATTTCTACAAACTTGCCTCAATTGCAGCCTCCACTTCTTCCGCATCCACATGGACCTCCCCCCCGACCTCCACTTGCACCTCTTGGAATGTCAGCTTCATATCCTTCCTCAATTCCGGGATCCATGCCAATGCCTTCCTCATTGGTTCCATCTATGACTCCATCCTTCCCGAACTCAATGGTAATTATTTAATCTCTTCAACTCAAGGAGTAACATGCTTAATAGAGGTATATTTTTGTATGTATATTGAGTTGGTCTGAGATGGGATAACGTGGAAGTGACCTGACCTAACAGATCTGACCCTCCTGATGTCTTAAGATTCCCTGACCAACCCATATAACTAATGGGTTGGGTCAAGTTGAACCATAGCTCCAAGGAAATGTATGCTTGATCCAAACCTTTTAACTGATGAACTGTCAAGAAGTTCTTTATGCAGACCCAATACATGAATCTGAAATGGGTTAGGTCAAGGCTGTGATTGACACCTCTACCATAATAACACCGGAAGTAGGAAAATGTTTATTCACATCATGTTGTTACCAAAGGTTTGCATGGAAGTTTATAGTTTAGAGGTTTTATTGCTTTGTGTCACCACATTTCTTTACCTTCAAAGGTCATGGACCAGCTTCCTCACATGATTGACTTGTGCTAGCTGCTTTAGGAGGGTTGATTTACAAGTTTGGTGGGCTTCCTTACCACAACTGATCTAGTATTATACCTCTTGCATTTTCTTTCCATTCACAAGAGGGGTTCTAGGTCCCTAGACTGCTGATACATTAAATTAGTTTAAAAAAGATAAAAAAGTTTAGATATTTGATTTTGTTGTATGTGTTTTGATGATCAGGATTTGCACAAGAGATGCAAGGTTACCTACGAGTAGATAGCTTATAAATGATAACATCAATTTGATGTTTGACCATTCAATTGGATGTATAGGTGTCTTGTTTAATCCAGATTGTTCTTTTGGATACAATGGAAATGCAAAGAAGTGGTTAAATTCTTCTATCAATGAATATGCATATTATTTCTCCTTCAGATGATGCAAGGATCAGCAACTCAGATGCCACAAGCACATATGATGGGCATTAATCAAATGAACCCAGGTTCTGTTACCAGCAGCAATATCCCTCCTGCAATTGGAGGTTTTGCAAATCCTATGGCAAATATCCAGGGTACATCAACAAGCGGGTTGCAAAACTTCCAAATCGGTGGTGTGTTCAACCTGCCACAAGGTGGCCAGATGGCTCCGATTCCAGGACTAAATGCTTACCAGGTTTGACACTCTTTTCTTCCCCTGTCGCTCATGCAATGTGTTGCATTTAGGCATGCCAAGTCTCGTACAAACAGATGCGTCAACTAGTTCTGTTTCCTCTATTATTAGCCCTATTTGTTAATGTGGTCGGCTTCAATAATTGCAGCCTGGGATGATGGATGTTCGAGTTCCTGGCATGGCTTTAGGAGGGAACATTGGAATGCCACCGCCACCTCCAACCATGCCCCATGGATCCGCACCGCAATAGGTCTCACCTTGAAATGCTTAATGAGTGTTTGACAGGTAGGACTACTATGGGTTGCAAATAACGGAGTTCCATTGATGAACTTGGACCTGATGTGTTTGCTTGGGTTCAGCTGATGCAGAGTCGTTCCCAGCCATGTGAGACCAAACACCAATTTGCTCTGATGTCATCTGTCCTAGCTGTTTTTCCACCTCAGCACCAGCTAAGTTTATAACATTATGGACCAACACCTTGTGTATTAAAAGTATAATCCATACCATTTAATGTACTGATTCAAACTTTCGTTTCTGTTCTAAGCATCTCTCGTTAATATAAAATGAGAGAATTGTCCGGGTGGAAATTATCGTCGGAAGCTTCCATGATTACGTATGTTTCTCTTTCGTCTGTATTTTACCTTTTGATCAACGTGATTTAATATGCAGTAAGCAACCGTGAAGGAGGAAAAAAAAATTAAAAATCATATATATTTTATTAACGAGAAACTTTATCCACGTTGTTCCATATATACATATATTTATATGTATACAATATCTGCTTCATTTAAGCAGCAACGTGGGAATTGGAACATATATATATGTATATATATATATATATATATATATATATGTATATATATATATATATGTATATATATATATATATGTATGTATATATATATATATGTATATATATATATATATGTATGTATATATACATACATACATATGTATATATATATACATACATACATATGTATATATATACATACATACATACATACATATGTATATATATATACATACATACATATGTATATATATACATACATACATACATACATATGTATATATATACATACATACATATGTATATATATACATACATATATATGTATATATATATATATATGTATATATATATATATATAAAACATATATATATGCATATATATACAGTGTGTGTGTATTTGTCTGTGTGTGTGTAATATTTGAATGGAGATTGCTGGGTCAAAGATCACGCGAAATTTAGCCTCGTTGCCATGTACGTGGCGATACGCAAGTGGTTTGCGGAAAGGCTTCAAACTGTCTCCTCTCTCACTCCACTCGCATCCATCAATTCCTTCTTCTTCCAAGGAATTCTCGTCCTCTTTCTCCTGCAGTCCTCCATTTCTCTTCCTCTCTCACAGCCTCACGGTCTTCCTGGGGCTGTCTCATCCCTCATCGGCAACACACCATGGTGAGCCTCTCTCTCTCTCTCTCTCTCTCTCTCTCTCTCTCTCTCTCTCTCTCTCTCTCATCTCGACCGCAAACTTGAGTGGCCTTACAAGAATGTCAATTTGACCTTTTCGCTGTCGACATATTTCTTGATCCGTATAGCTACCCATTCTGTCGTTCTCTCCCATCCCTTGCGTCATGGATCATGTCAAATACAACGCTTGCTAACTGTTCTTTGTGCGTTGCTAAGGCGAATTCGGCGTCGGGAATGGCGGTGAGTGATGAGTGCAAGCTCAAGTTCTTGGAGCTGAAGGCCAAGAGGAGCTTCCGGTTTATCGTCTTCAGGATCGAGGAGAAGATACAGCGGGTCATGGTGGAGAAGCTTGGCCAGCCGGAGCAGAGCTACGATGACTTGGCTGCATCCCTGCCGCCCGACGACTGCCGCTACGCCGTCTTCGATCTCGATTTCATCACGGACGAGAACTGCCAAAAGAGCAAGATCTTCTTCATCTCCTGGTATCTGAATCTGCCAGAAAAAGCCTCATCCATGATATACAGGGAGTCAACTCATGATTACATCCATTTTCCTACGAGCAGGTCTCCTGATACGTCGAGGGTGAGGAATAAGATGCTGTACGCGAGTTCCAAGGACAGATTCAAGAGGGAGCTCGATGGCATACAAGTGGACCTACAGGCAACCGATCCCAGTGAGATGAGCTTTGACATCATCAAAGGGCGAGCTCTGTAAGATGGTCAATCATATGTGATAAGCCAGGCTTTGCCCATCTTATATTGTTTGTCCTCATCAAATTTGCACAGATTATAAATGAGGCATTCTTGTCTCTCGAGGGGAAGACTCCCCAACTCATTTCTGTGTATCATTCCCACGTTAAATTACATCTCTGTTTTAATCTTCAGATTTTAATGACATAGAAACTCATTACTTAAAGACTTCAGAGACCAACAGTCTTCAAACAATGCAGCTAATAGTAGGTTGATATCTCTGATTCTTCCTTGTAAATGATCCATGTTATCCTTCATTTTGGACTCATCTTTTGTTGATTTCTTGATCCAACTTGATTGCTTACCCCAAATACAAAAAACAACTTGACTAGTTTTCGATTTCAGACGGGAACAAAGCAGGGCATGCCATCAGATTCATCTACAGAACAAATGAAAGAAGAACAAGAACAAATACTTGACCACATGTTCCAATGCCTTTTGCTGCATCAATGTCAAACAAATGTGAAATGTTTCTTGAGTTTTCTGAACGTGTATGACCTTCACTTAAAGATCGACAAACATGTGGTGGGTCGACTCGAATCCGGCGTACGTTTCATTGGATGATACAAGATCTACAGGCCCATACTGCGGCTGAATTAATCCACCAGAGTTGCTTATAGCTTCAAATCCATGAAGGAAGTCATCAGTGGATATCATGTCAAGCTGCAGAAGTTGAGGACTGAGAGCCTCAGAATTCGAGGTGGATTCCTGTCGGCGATTCACCCCACCATTGTCGCTGAACATTGGTAGCCAATCTTCAAATAGAACTTTGGGGAGGGGAGGTTGAGGGGTTCTCTGAGATTGTGCATGATTGGTAACATTCAGTATTGACTGACATGGAATTGGAGAAAATGATTCCAATGAAGCTGAGGTTTCTGAAAGTAAGATTTGGCTATTATTCTCATCCAAGAACTGTTCCATCCTCAGGGATTGGTCGTCTGAGCCTAGAGATTTTGCCATGGTGTCATGAGAAGCTGATCCATCAATCTTTATCGCCTTCTTCTTGACATGAGTGTTCCAATGGTTCTTTACTTCATTGTCTGTTCTTCCTGGTAGATGCATCGCTATTCGAGACCACCTGTGACATCAGTTCCAAACATCTCAATGAGGCATCAGCATTTCTCGAAGTAGCAAACAGCAACATATAAGTTTATGGAGAAGGCCACAACCAAATTATAATTTGATTCATAATTTCGTTTTTAATAAAGGAACAGCTTGATTCCATACTAGCAATGACTATGATAGGTTGCAGGCAGAATGATCTGTTGTAGTTACAATTACGTCGATTAGTCTTCCAGCATTAGCTACGTAGTGAATGTGTTTATAGAAAAGATTGTAATGAAGAATGGCCATCCAATTCATAGTCTGGAGGCTTACTTGTTGCCCATGATTGCATGAAGTTTCATGATCATTGCCTCCTCCTCATGAGTAAAAGCACTGCGCTTTAGTCCCGGCCTCAGGTAATTGATCCACCTCAATCTGCAGCTCTTTCCATTCCGTTGCAAACCTATAAAAGCAATGCATGTTGATCATTCATCGGTAAAACCAAAATAAAATGATTTCTTTGAACAAGGCAAAGAGCAGACCTCACTAGAGAGATAAATAGAATGGAGTGGTTTTGTCAAGTACGTTGATACAGATAGATATCAATGAAGCAGTTCTAAGTACATTGACTCACCAGCTTTGACAGGAACTGAGCTCCAGCAACCATGGCCATGCGCAAGGATGTAGTCCCTCAGTCTCTGGTCCTCCTCCGGCGACCACAGACCCTTCCTATGGTTCACCTTCGGCTTCTCGCACATCTTGCAACCCATTACAATCGACTGGCTTTTGGAGACTCCAGACTGCAGCAAGACTCTGCCGTTGGCTTCTTCCCTCTGCAATGCCAAAGGTGGGAGATGTCTGAAACTTAAAGGCAGCTTGGAGAATATAATAAGGGAGTTGCCCATCAAACAATTGGCACAGAATGGAAAATTACTGATAGAGACTGTTCTGTGCTGTGCCTAATACTAAGATTGGTCACTGATTCAATAATGGTTTATGAAGCATGCCTTAGAAGGTCTGTAATCATTTAACAATCATTGTGAGAAACACAGCTGTGGTGATCCCTATTCTACAGAAGACTTGTGACAAGCATTTTAATGGTATCAAACATGTAACTGCTCTGGAATCTTTGAAACTTTAGTAAGACTTGTTCAAAGCATTTTAATGTAAAGCTCTGCCTATTTTATATGCCCATTCTTGATATTATTTTACTTTGAAGACAATTTGTGCCCTCAAGAACTAACTTATACCATTTATTTCTCTAGCAGTTCTTACTGCTGATCCTTTTTCTTGTCATAAATTTTGTTAAATTGAAAACATTACTCACTGCTTTAGTCGATGTATTATCTCTAACATTGTAACACAATTTTCTTTTCTTTTACTGGCAGAAACAGCTCAGAGTCAAATTTCAGTAACAAATGATCTTATATTGTCTTTGAAGATATCATACATGAACTAAAGAATAATTAGTCACCAACCCTTTGGAAAAATGGACAAACTTCCAAATGAAATCTATGTAATAGGACCGATGAAAAATATACAGCATTTAGAACTATCTTTGTTTATGACTCAAAAGCACAATGGACAGCTTTCCTCTTCAATTACCTTCCTGCAAGAAGTTATTCTTTGTTGACTAGAGACTAGTCCTCTCTTTTTCATGGAAAGGTAAGTATCAAAAACTTCACATGTTGCTCATTTGTCTGAAACATGTACAATACAGGGCCTTAATAGGTGATGGTTCTCCTAACTGATTTTAAATGACCTGAGAAGCTTCAAACTGATGTCACTGACATGGATAAGTAATAAATACCAAGTTTATTAAGAGAGATAAGAAGGCAACAATTCACATCAAGAAGTCCAATAGAATACTGCTGGTTTTACAATACCATTTTGATCATTTGGGGCTTAAGTTTATTGTATCTATAGCAGGCATGATACACTTTTCTATTCACCATACACTACACTTGCGACTACTGATCCAGAATAGGCATTTCAATATCATTTTGATCATTTGGGGCTTAAGTTTATTGTATCTCTGGCAGCTACTGCACTTTTCACAAAGTTACAATTGCACAAAAAAAAAAATGATGTATTTGGATCTTTTATTTTAAATACAAGTAGATATATCCACTGCATTTTTATTTCTCAAGCGTAAGCAAAGATAAAGATTCGAGTCACAAAAAAAATCTCTTTAATATTTTTAAAGATAAGACTACGTATATTGACCTTACCCAGATCCTGTATTGGTGAGAGTTTCGTGCACTAGGTTCGCCCTTTTTAAACATAAACAAAAATAAGATCCAGTCTAAGCTGAAAGAAATAACAGACAATTAAATCAACCAAGAAAACATGAACCTAATTTCAAAAGACTACATCAAAATCCGAAAGAAACACCACTTAAATTGAATAAAATATGAATTTGGTGAAATATAGAAATAGAGATTGGAACATAGATTGAATATAGAAAAATGTCTGGATTATCCATGATGAGCATAAGATCAAGCATTTACAGAGAGTAAATATGATCCATGTGATATCTTAAGATTTGTTCCATTCCATTACTAATTCTCTCATTTGACACTACCTACCAGCAACCACACAGTTGTTTACTGTTTAGATCATGCTGCTCTTCTTTCACACTAGTTTGTCCTTTTCTGTAGGACCAAGAATATAGGAACATGCTACATATAATTTAATGATAGGAACAGGTTGACTTTATGGACATGAGTTAATACCTTCGATTATACTAATTCCAAGACCGATCTATTAATAACTGAACCATGAAGAGGAGCAGCCAATATGAGGTTGCCATCTAAATGCTAAACAAAACTTCCATGGTTATTAATATGAAATGATGAACACACCAGATTCTCAAACAATCCTTCAGATTTGATTAAACTCTATAAGTATGAACAAAAAGAATGATTCCATAGAGCTTTAAAAGCCATGAATGAAATAATGATTGCAAACCGCATGACATCCTTAATATTTGGATCATGAACATCAACTAAACTAGCTTATAGTGGTCCTGGAAATTCATAAGTTCATGCTTTAGTTTGTGATTTCCAGGAAAACAAGTAAACCAAGTCAAATTCTTGTTTTGTTTTAATTCACTGGAGCTGGACAGCTTATCTGTTGTACACATAGTCAATAATTATATCATCACATTTTGTCGGAAGATAACCAAATTAATTGTTGTTTCAGACATAATGGTTAAAACTCATGCATCATTAAGATTCAGTAGGTATCTGTCAAGCACATGAAACTGATCATGAAGAAAATACCTTACAGTACAGACAATAACTACATGCCACAGACTGCTCTTGTTTAACTACCAAGAAAAGGGCATCAATTCCATGCAGACACAGTTCTGCTTCTATTGGCTCTGCATGCAATTGTCTTTACATGTTTAGGTGTCAACATAAATATAATTTTCCAACTGATTTGGTAATTAAATGGAATGGAGTGAGGCCCAGCATGCATCATCTGACAACACATGATGAAGAGAATGTTGCACCCAAGTTAGGTGCCTACTTCATATAATTAATTAATGGTTAATCTTAAAGACACTGAAGCACTGCCATGATAAGAATTTTGAGCTCGTGATGAGTTTGATAACTCATCATAAATAATATGCATGCAGGATGAGAAATATTGTATGAAAAAGATGCATAAATAAGCAGAGATGAAATCATGAATTATGATAAAGTCAAATTAGAAGGTGTCCTCAGATTAGCAGAGACAGAGAACAAATAGCATCACTCTCTCACCTGTTTGAATGGGTCTGTGGTGTAGAGCTTACATGCCTCCGGTCCTCTCTCCTACCTTTACTCCCATCTTCCTTCACCAAATAAGGATCTAATTCTCATTCTTTAAAGGGCTTGACTCTTCACAGGTTTCTTCTGCTCTCTCCCCCTCCTTTCACCTTCCGTTCGTGGCACACAAGAGAGGGAAGGACAGATACAACATCACAAGAGCTCCTGTGATATTTGCTCTTGTGGTTGTGTCTCGGGAGATTGCGAGAAAACTTGGGCATTGTTTGGATCGTCACCATGTCTTTCAGTGGCACCCAGGACAAGTGCAAGGCCTGCGACAAGACTGTCCATTTCATCGACCTCTTGACCGCGGATGGAGTCCCTTATCACAAGACTTGTTTCAAGTGCAGCCACTGCAAAGGAACTCTTTCTGTATGTTCCGTTTCCCAACCTGCAAAACACCATGAGATAATGTTCTTCAATCCCTATAAAGTATCATGCAACAGCATCTCTCATATTATTTAGTGTTTTCTGATGGACAGTACTGTAAGTTCTCTATATATTTGATTTTTTGATGAACCATTCATGTACTTCATTCAAGAAACATATATATATGCATATACAAATAGAAGAAATGTGCAATCATATAAGAAGTTTTGACCTTTTTCTAGAAGATCAATCTTTCTTGGTGGGGTTTGCAAGCTATAGGCGAAAAACACTAATCATTCTTTCTTCATTTTTCTCACAGATGTGCAACTACTCTTCCATGGATGGCATCCTCTACTGCAAGCCTCATTTTGAGCAGCTCTTCAAGGAGACTGGCAGCTTCTCCAAGAAGTTCCCAACGAGTAATAGCCACTGTCTTTTTTCCTTATCATGCATATCAAAATGCATCTTTCTACACCAGAAAGAAATCAATTCTAATCATGCACTCTATGTTGGTAGCTACTTAAGATCATCATTAATTTGGTATAGAGCTTTACCATTAACTATTTCCTTGTGGGATTTGCTGACATGATACAAGGTTCAAAGTCTGGCGAAAAAGAACTGGTACGTTAATCCTTACCTTTTTCATTTCTGTTCCTTAGCTAATCATGAAGTTAAGGCACCATTCTCTTTTGCAGTCAAGGACTCCGAGCAAGGTCTCCTCCATGTTCTCAGGAACCCAAGACAAGTGCGCTAGCTGCAAGAAGACAGCGTACCCTTTGGAGAAGGTCTGCATGATCCCCCACAACCGTAATAAGTTTGTAAGCTTGACAAGGACTCCAATGGTTGTTCTTTGTCTTGGCAGCTGACCGTGGAAGGTGAATCATACCACAAGACCTGCTTCAAGTGCTCTCACGGGGGCTGCACTCTTACGCCCTCGTCCTACGCGGCACTCGATGGCATCCTCTACTGCAAGCACCACTTCGCGCAATTGTTCAAGGAGAAGGGGAGCTACAACCACCTGAACAAGGTGGCGTCGATGAAGCGGAGTTCTGGAGCAGAGGAGGCACCAAGCGAGGAGGCAGCGGCTGAACCCACGCAGGAGGAAGAGCAGTCGTAAAAATGTACCTTTGATCCCTCTGGCTTCTTCCAGCTTCGTCTCTGTTGGGTGTTTGCTCTAATGCGTATGAGATTTGCGACAAGGAAAATAAATGGTCGACTTCCTTTTTCACATGTTTGTACTTTTTTCCATGCTGCTAAAAGGTCCTGTGAGTCATGTAATTATCAGATGAATGCATGAATTATTGGAGGCATCTGCTATGATTTATTTATCTGAAATAACCAAATATTTAATATTAGCATAAACATTATAATAATTTTTTTTGTCAATTATCTATCATTTTATGAGCAATTATAACTCTAAATAATGTTAAACACTTATTAGCTACTAATAAATTATATATCTATGAGTGTTGGAAGTGTCAGCTTGGCTAGCAATCGCCCACAAAAGTCCGTCTATTTTTGATGGGCCATCTAATTGGGCTTCCGTACTGTTCCAATTGTCTTGTTGGACCCACGAAGAGACTGGCGATATAAATAGCAACGCGCGGGTAAATGAAATGTGAATTGGCGACGGTGTGCCTTCCCGGGTCGCGCGTCCTCTTCTCGCCTTCATCCCATCGATCGGCTCAGAAACCTCGATCGCCAGTCCGAATCCAACGCGCAGGTACTTGCTGCTGATCTCCCTATCTTGATTTCCCCTTCCTTGCCTTTCTCCTCGTTTCGATCCGAACCCCAAATGCAAATCTGTTGGTTCATGGTCGGACAACTTCTAATTGAGTTGAAAGAAGAATGAGAGGTTTATGTTCATGAAGTGAGCACCTTAAAAGATTAATCAGCAAGATATTGGGTTTACTGACGGAGGAATTGCCTTATGCCCTGATTCGGTGTAGCATCGGATCCTAAAAGTATGTTCTTTTTTCTCATATTGTGAATGAAATGAGCCTAGCATTAGCCGTCCATTGTAGCTGCATGATCTGCTTTCCAATTTGTTACAGTGATATCGAAGGAAGAACTCGTTAGAGAACCAGTGGCTCTTACTTTGAACTGGATTTATGATTCTTGTGTGTCGAATATTGTTTGACCATCAACGCGACCTGTTTCTTGTTCATGCATTTTAGTAGCAACTGTGACCGTCACAGTTGTGGATATACGTTTGATTTACAAACTGAACAAAACAAAACGAGAGTTTTGCAACTTGCCGATGATATCTCTATGGTTTGAGGTCCAATTTGCTTGGCAGTATTGTCTTAAGAGCATTAATATTTAGGTTTTCCTTGACACTCTGACTGAAAATATAAAGTGATTTTCCAGTGCTTTCGAAGGGATAAATCTAGATTCAAATCCCCAAACATGAAACCTTAAGACCCCTTTCTTACTCAAATTTCTAGTCTTGTGCCATTTCTTTTAATATAGCCATTGTTTAACTATGCTGTGATTTTGACAAACACCTGTTTGTATACAAAAAGTTGATTGCAATTAGAGTAGCGTAATCTGAAAATTATACTTGATAAAGTATTTTAAATCCTATATCACTGAATTCCAACTCAACCACATCCTCACAGGCATGATAGGGGCATGTCATGTCCTCGACCTATATAAGAGAGTACTGACTGATCTTGTAATCACAAATCTATATGTTGCTATGAGTTGATGCATATCAGCATAAGGACATTTGTGCTGAGATGCTCTTTGTTGCCTACTGTTCCACTGCTGCACCACAACATTTTCTATTGTTTCTATATCGTGTTAAGCATGTTGTGATGTCTTAATTGCCATGGACAGAAGCTGTTTTGCAACAACCGAGACCTGAAATTTTAAACATGGTATTGGAATAGCATATTGTCGTAAGCCCGTAGTGATGTCTTAATTGCCATGGATAGAAGCTGTTCTATAACTCAAGTTTTGGAAGATTAGTATAAGAGCAACATGAGGTTTTTTTTTTTCTTCTTTTAGCTTCCTATCTACTTTCTTATTCAATTCTAGTGTTGGACTATGACAATTAGCCATTGCATACTGTAAACTTTCAGATTGAGTTGGTAGTGATCAAAATTTAACAGAAACTTTCTCCGAAATGGTTGACATGCATAAACTATGTTGCAATTTTCTTTTCGACAAATTATAGTTGAAAGAACCACAAGTTTAATGCCAATCTGTGGTGAATAAACTCATTCATATATAAACGGTAGTAATGCTCTCTGTGGAAGGTAAATAACCGATGTAAATTGCTAATACATATCTTGATGCTATATTTTGTCTGCTAAACATAATGTGATGTATCATTTAATGCAATTTAGTTCTGTTCAGCAATTGAGGAGAGGAGAAGCTCCAAAAAGGAACGAGAAATCTTCTTGTGGCTTGCTGTGGTGCCTATGTAATCACCGCTGCTATTGTTGTCGCTGCAAGTCAGGTTAGTGTTCCAGTCTATACTACATTACTTTGTGGTTACTGCTTTTTCTCAACTGCTTTTCCTGTAGAACTTTCTCCTGGTGAGGTACTCAGCATCATAAGTAATTGCCTGGATTAAAGTCTTAATAGAAGATAAATCATGAAGTTCTATATATATATATATATATTGATACATTAGTCTAATTTTAAAAATGTTGATTTCCATGATGTTAATCTAATCTAGAAAGTAACATATCTAAATCTATAACTGGAATATAAAAAAGATGCATCAATGTGATATATTAATCAAAATGTGCATTAGTTTTGATACATTAGTCTAACTATAAGAATGTTTTTAGTTTTGATGATATTGATCTAATTTATGAAAGTACTTGCAAGAATATTATTGAGATTTCAATGATAAAAGGATGATGATATATGACTTTTGATAGACAAGGGTAAAGTGACTAAATGTGCATGACTTTTGATATATTATTCGAATTATAAAAATATGTTTGATTTTGATGATATTAATTTAATATATAAAAATATTATTGATCCCGGCGGGGCTCGAACCCGCGACCTTCGGCTCATAAGACCAACGCTCTAACCAACTGAGCTACGGGATCTTGATGTTATATTATTTTTGTATAATAATTACTACTAGTAATAATATATCTGGTTTATTAATTACTAATTTGCATCAGTTTAGATAAAATTTTAGATTGATTCTAAAGGGGAGACCACTAACTTAAGACTAAACCTTTTGAGTCAGCAATTGATATGCTAAATGACATTAAGACCTACGATATGGTGAAAGATTTAAATAAAAATAAATTATTCATAGATGAACTAGTGGTTTGTGATGATGTTGAGGCGTCGCTATTCATCTTTTACACATCATGTTAATTTTATCGATACTATGTTATTCAAATTAAAAAAAAGATTATAACACATCAATTTAGGTATACATAAAAAAAAAAAATTAAGTATTTAATGATTCAAACTCAATAAAATTGTAGATGAGTTATCCCATCATATCAAATCATAATAATTAATATTAGAGTCAAACTTTCTCAATAACCCTTAATAAGTTGTCTTTAATAGGTATCCACATCTACGATATAGTTAACCAGGCTTATATCTGGTTCAAAACATAGTACAATTCATTTTGTTTCTATATAAAATTTAAATTCTTTAATATCTGATTTGAACCCACGCCTACAATTAAATTCTTTAATTGTAGATGAGTTATCCCATCATATCAAATCATAATAATTAATATTAGAGTAAAACTTTCTCAACAACCCTTAATAAATTGTCTTTAATAGGTATCCAAATCTATTGTGACGAGCCAAGCTAGGGCTCATTTGCCAAGAAGTCCATTTAGAGTTAGTTTAGGCTGTAATTTTCTGGTTAACCAGGCTTATATCTGGTTCAAAACATAGTACAATTCATTTTATTTCTAAATAAAATTTAAAATTTTAAATGTTGAGAGTGGGATTTGAACCCACGCCCTTGCCAAGAAGTCCATTTAGAGTTAGTTTAGGCTGTAATTTTCTGGTTAACCAGGCTTATATCTGGTTCAAAACATAGTACAATTCATTTTATTTCTAAATAAAATTTAAAATTTTAAATGTTGAGAGTGGGATTTGAACCCACGCCCTTTCGGACCAGAACCTTAATCTGGCGCCTTAGACCAACTCGACCATCTCAACAGCTGATAGATGTGCACAAGTGTCTTCTTATATTAAGTAATAACAATAATAATCAAGCAAAACACTATTTTGTTATAGAAATATCAAAATAAATGGCTATTTTGTAGTAATAATTTTCACTGTTGAATAGTTAATAGTGAATTGTTTACGAAACAAAATATTACATATTGGTTTTAATTTCAATTAATAAATTACGGTGAGCGTGGATCGAAATTTTTATCAGATGTCTATATTTATTTTCGTGAAAAATTTTATCGTAGAATGCTTCTGCCCTTGTTTGTCCTACTTGGTTTCTGTGTCTCTTTCGTGCCTAAGAGACTGATGAAGGGGGACATTTGTCTTCACCATCACCCCTTAACCACCTACTCGCTTTATATACTTCTCAAAACTTTCTCCTGCGCCACCTCACCTTATTCCACCCGCAGAAATAAAGCGAGTTCGGAGATATTTCCGCAATGCCAGTTCTTGAGAAGTCATTGTTTCTCTTCTTGTTCATATCATCCTTCGCCTTGGACACAGCTCGGGGCTTCGAACCGAACTCGCAGCGCGAAGCGGACAGAGTCACAGCACTCCCGGGCCAGCCGGAGGTGGAGTTCCGGCACTACTCCGGGTACGTAAGGATAAGCGACGACAAGGCGCTCTTCTACTGGTTCTTCGAGGCCAAGCGAAAGCCGGAGGAGAAGCCTCTCATCCTCTGGCTCAATGGAGGTACGTCCGGTTCCTTCCAACCTCTCTTCTCTCCTTCAACATTAAAAAAAGATTCTTTGTTTTCTCTTTCTATCGTATGATTCATGTCATGATGTCAAATCAAAATCATGGTCTGGCCACAAGAGGCAACAGAGAATATTTTTGAGGCCTATTTGGCTTCGTCATTGTGGGGAAAACAATGTAGGCACATGAACCGTGCTTGCAGATTTGGAAGTGTTTTCCGATTTGAACAGAAACACATTTCTAAAAAGCTCTCTGTCTTTATTTAACAAATCACTCTTGATCAATGTTAAAAGTAGAGAGTAAACTTATGACCACCAATCTTGTTTTTGAACTTCAAAAACAAGTAATATTTTTGTTTTCTGTTTGTTTCTTTTTAACAAAGCAAACACATAAAGAGTTCCTATGAGGTTACAAAGGGGTGGATAACATGGTAAAACAACATGTCCAACCTCAGAATTGTCTTCTACGGATTTAGGCTCTGTGGTCAGACTCTGTTCATGCTTCCCTCTTTCCTCTGCTGTTTGCGGATGCTCCACTTAGAACCTTACATTAGAAGACGAATAGCAAAAAAGAATAAGCATTGAGTAACACTGTATATTTCATTAAATCCATGAAATAAAACACTTTTTACCGCCATCATCATCTCTCAAACTTTGTGTTTTTATGATCCTGTTTTAGAGTTAATTTAAGTGATATGCACATTTATCCAAGTGAGCTTTTAGATCAATTGACAGTGGTCCAAATGTAATAATTCTTTATCTAGCTTTTGGTTATCAAGAAAATTTTGTTGCATAGGCAATTACCATGAAGCAGCCTGCAGAGGTACTCTGCGGCTGTCCTCAGTAGTACTGGCAGCTACTGTGCATGCGTTTGCCATTCAAGTGGCAGGCGTACAACATTCTTAACTGTGGTTCCACCTAAATTTTAGCACAGGGGTTTTGACTATGGATTGTCTTCAATAATGACACAATGATCCCTTGATCTTCCCTTCCCTGCACAGTAGATTAGCTCGATCGAGATAGATGTGACATGATGCATGAATGTAAACTTATATCCGTAAATTCTGTCATGGTCGATGGAATTATGGTGTGATATATGACAGGACCTGGATGCTCATCTGTTGCTTATGGAGCTGCACAGGAGCTGGGGCCATTCTTGGTCAGAAGCAATGCTCCCAACCTCACTCTCAATCCCTACTCCTGGAACAAGGGCAAGTGCTTCCATGATCTCTCATTCCCACTTTCTCCTCATGCAATAATAGTTGCAGTCTAGTGCGATACCTTCTTTCTTTTTCTGCTTGGTATAGTTGCAAATCTTCTGTTCCTCGAAGCTCCGGTGGGAGTAGGATTCTCCTACACCAACAGGTCATCGGATCTGGAGGAGGTCGGCGATAGGATCACTGCACAAGATTCACACTCCTTTCTGCTGGACTGGTTCAATAAGTTCCCAAACTTAAAGTCCCATGAGTTCTTCATCGCAGGAGAAAGCTACGCAGGTAGAGTGAATCTGTTCTACTTGTAGTGAATTGCTTTGTGTTCCTCAGAGTCAGCAACGCTGGCGAACTCTAAACTTGCATCGCACATTTTCTCAGGGCACTATGTTCCCCAGCTTGCAGAGCTCATCCATGAAGGAAACAAGAAAGCTAGCAAGGATTCGTATATCAATCTTAGAGGCTTCATGGTAAGACAAATCATCATGAAATCAATACCTGGACATCGGCCTTAGTACAAATTTCCAACTACCACAGTACCATAATAAAATGGAAGTAACAAAAGCTGACTGCTTCACCGTATGGTATTAATACGGTGGACTTCAGGTTAAGTATCAATGCAATCTAACAAAATATACAGCCAGCTGAAAGAAACAATGCTGGACACTTCTATTATTTAGACTTGGACTTCTAATCATGTCACACTGACGCTGACACTGCCATTTTTTTTCGAGGGAAAAGATCGGGAATGCAGTGCTTAATGATGCGACGGACCAGCTAGGGATGGTGGAGTACGCCTGGAGCCACGCCATAATCTCCGACGAACTCCACGCCTCTCTACGTAGAGAATGCAACTCCTTCGAGGGAGCAGGGGAAGGCAAAGCCTGCTTGCCCGCCGTCAAAGCCTTTCTGCGGGCCTTCCAGGACATCGACATGTACAGCATCTACTCACCGGTCTGCCTCTCCTCGCTATCCAAATCCCCTCGCTCGAGCAAACTTGTCGCAGCCCCCCACCTCTTCTCCCAGCATGTCAGTGCCTACCGCGGTCTCAGTTTGGAGCAGGACTCGCCGTGCAATGTTCCTCACTGTTGTTGGTTTTGCTTACAGGAGACGTGGCACGGCATGCGGAGGGCGACGGCAGGATATGATCCATGCACCGAGGACTACGTGAAGAGATATTTTAACAGAGAGGATGTGCAGCTGGCACTGCACGCCAATGTCACTCATCTCTCTTACCCCTACTCCTCTTGCAGGTTCTTCTAATTTCAAGTTCACTAAATTAACATGTATAACTGCTGCTTGTATCTCGCATACATTGATTTCTTGGAACAAGTCTGTATAACTATAAAACTCACTTGTGTCCTGTATGTTTCATTTAAATTTGTCTTCTTTGTTAAGCAGCGAAATAATACGGAGGTGGAATGACTCTCCACCCACAGTACTCCCCATTCTAAAGAAGCTCATGAAAGCAGGACTTCGAGTCTGGGTTTACAGGTAGTTAACTACTGCCATTGAAATATGTTGGATTGATGCTACTGCAGTCAGCTGACCAACTTGCATGGGCTTTCCTGAATCATGTCGACAGTGGGGATACCGATGCCAGGGTGCCGGTGACGTCGACGAGGTACAGCGTCAACGAGATGAGGCTTCGGCAAAAGGGAGGAGAGAGGAAGAAGAGATGGGGAGGTTGGAGGGCTTGGTACTACAGGGAGGAGGTGGCTGGGTGGGTGGTGGAGTACGAGGAGGGGCTGACTTTGGCCACCGTGAGGGGGGCGGGGCATCAAGTACCTCTCTTCGCCCCTGACCGTGCTCTCGCCCTACTCTCCCACTTCCTTGGCGACCAATCTCTGGCATCTTCTCGCTTTGGATAACTTGGATCTTCCGCTCCGTTACCGACTAAACTGGGTGTTCTTCTCGATTGTCAGCACTTAAAAGGAACGAAAAAGCTATGTCAAGCTAACATTTGATCAATGTCATGTTTATGGCTTTGTTTGTGGTCAAATATGCATATAGTTATTGTTCAGGGGATGCACGGTTGACAATTGAGTCAGCCCCAACTTGGTTTTGTCCAGCGATGTTAGAGGAACCATTATGACGGCCTCGGTTTTGTCCAGTAGGTATAGAGATGTTAAAGGAACCATTATAAAGGCGCTGAGGTAGCTCCGAGATGGTTTTTATATAAACGCCAACCTGTTTAGGTAGTCTTGAGGTCGAGTCGAGGGGGGATTTGGCTTCTCGATAGATTCCTATAAGAAGGTCAACATCAGGAGGAATTTGTACGACGTGACTTCTTCGATGCATTATAAAATTATATGAGGTGTGAGAGATTTTCGAAAAAAGGTCTCGTTATCGAGAAACATAAAAGAGCATCACATGCGTAGTAAAAAAATAAAATAAAAATCAGTTTCATAAAAAAAACATATTTATCTCAAATCACATGTATGAGATCTCATGTTCTCCTTTCTAGCGATGATTCATATGACGGATGAAGCGGTGACATATCTCCTTTCACAACACGCTCTTTCTTCACCTACGCACATCACCACCATGCAACAGGGGTAGTCTTTCTTGTTGCTCTCTCACACCAGATAGGAGGTAGTAGGCTGAGGAAGAAGTAGGGAGCGACGACTAAGAGGTTTAACTTTATAACCCTTTTAGTCCCATATCCCTTTTATAGATAGCTCTCTTTGCTAATCCTAATAGATCTTGTCATATTAGGTATTCGATCTTCATCCAAATATCCTAACATATTGGATATTAGATCTCTATCTAATTATTCATAGCTTAATGAAAATTGGATCTCTATCCAATTATCCACTCTAAGCTTTTATTGAGTTTCACCGGATCTAACAAAATAGGGACTTATTGGATATCACATATTCAATCCACTATGAGTTGTATCTATTAGAATTCCTTCTGATCCAGTGAATTATCGTCCTATAATAATTCACTCAACTCATTGATTATGGTTACCGTGTATCTATGATCTTTCTGTTGGAAAATCTATGGTGATATTATATGCGTAGTGAAAGAACTCAAAATCTCCTGTAGAAAATGGAAAATCTGTGGTGATTATCGTATGCGTAGTGAAAGAACATAAAACAAAATCTCAAAATCTCCTGCAGAAAATAAGGTGGCTCTTAGTTACTGTGTATCTATGATCCTTCTATTAGAAAATCTATGGTGATATCATATGCGTAGTGAAAGAACAGAAAATAAAATCTCAAAATCTCTTGCAGAAAATAAGGTGCTCCTCAAGTCAATACCCAAATCTCTTCCTTGCGCACACCACATGACCACATGATTAAGAAAGGGCTGCTCTATCTTGCTATCCACACGCCCCAAATAGAGGTCGTAGATTGAGAGGAGAAGAGAAGAGGAGAATAGAAGGTGGTAGCCAAAAAAGCCTAGCTCATGGTCCTTTGGTTCCCTCCCATTTATAAAGGCCCCCTATCAACTTAACCCTAATGGATTCTGTCATATAGAGTATTGTATCTCCATTCAACTGCCCAAGCCTATTTAATTAGTGGGTCTCTACCTAATAATCTCTCATTGATTCTTATTGGATCTCATCCATAAGATCCCATAATTAAATGACTTATTGAATTTTTAATAAGATAAGGGCTCCGACAAATATCTCATATCCAAACCTCTACTCGTTGTAACACCTATCATATGTATCTGACCATCTATGCCTAATATTGAGCTGGCCGTAAATTATACTTATTAGAAATTCTTCTAGTTTAGTGAATTATTATCTCCATAATAAGTTACTTGACTCATTGACTACGGATATACTAGACCACTACCCTGTAGTCCCCAAATGATAAGGGAATCTAATCCTTTAGACCTATCTGTCCTTAGTTATCATATATCTATAGTCTCTCATCTATCTAATATCTTAGAGATTGTGTTCCAAGTATGGTGCTATAACTCTTTCTCTCTCAATCTGAATGACCCTGGCCAGAGATTTGTCTGAGCAAGAATACATGAGATATTTTTTTCATGACACCGAGAGTGGATGATCCTCTATCAACACTCAATAGCCCTCGTAAGTTTAGCCACCACTCTTGATGACTAGTTGTGTTATATATGAAACTTCCAAACCTATAAGTCCAATATCAAAGAATGAAGTACTCATATAGGACATCTTTAGTATCTCAAGTCTACGAACTAGATACACCACTGAAATAATGAAATGATTATCTGACAATAAGGCATTATCAATCATCCAACATTCCGCGAGCGGATCAATCAGTGAACTCATTCTCCATCGAGCACCTACATTGCATTCCTAGTGTCCTCACACGAGCAGCTATGAGATAAGCCGCCTCCATCATATAGATGGGTATATAGTACACCAATATGTCTGGTTATCTCGATGTCTCTCTCGAGTAACCTATGATCGGGATTATTTAGGGTCTGCATTTAAAAGCAAATTGGTCTCATTATCATAATCTCATCACGATCTGATTTTCATTGCATAGATCCATGGGCATATATATATATATATATATATATATATATATGTAATAAGTAATATAAAGTGAGAAAATATAATAATAATAATAATAATAATAAAAAAGAGTGTGTGTCATGTCACACGTGTCATCACTCATATGATTGGCTTGCAGGGTTACTATGACTAGCACTTCCATTGTAGCGAGCCCGAGGTTGACATCCGAGATAGTTCTTGGCATGACCTTTTGTGTATTTCTTCATACTTGTTTGAGATCATTGTTTTCGTGGCTTGTACTAGTTAGCTCTCTAGAGGATCTCGGGCACTAGGTGGCCTCTCCACCAACAATCAAAAGAAACGAGTGGACCAAAGGCCAATTATGAAAGCTTATATCATAAGGGAGAGGTGGGCTTCCTACACACCGATATTTTGCCAATAAATCACATGATGAAGTTAGAGAGGGTTTCATTCTCCCTTTGTCTTAGCCCAAGTAGCATTACTGTAGACAGCCTTGGGCATATGTTTCCAAGGAAGTGGAGCTTGAACTCTTTTATAAGTTGAGTAAAAGAACATATTAAGAGTAGCTTCAAGCGACTATACCACTCCTGCACTAAGCTCCTCAGCGTTGTTAGGAATATACAAATACATTAAAGCGTTTAAGATATCGTACAATAACATATGAGTGCAAAAAGCAACGGTATGTTCCACTTAGTCAGAGTTACCATCAAAGGCTTCTAGTGACGGGAAGGTTTGTCAAGATCGGTTTCTTCTAGATGCTTTGGACGAATAGGGAATTGTTCGAGATGGGGTCATTTGTGCCTTCTCTTCTAGACTACTAGAACTCCCAATGCATCTCATCTTGACTCTAGTCCATCTATTATAGTTAGGTTCTTACGGAGTCATCTATTGAATTTGCCAACCATGTCTTTGATTCAAATAGGGTTGGGCCTTGGTATAGCAACACGCTGAACTCTATAGTTGGGGAGTGGGGTGCCCTCTCTACTAGTAGTTCAACAGGTCAAGGATGATCTTGAGTGACTGATACTAGATCAATTAGAGGAACCCTAGTCGATGTGGGTACTAACGGTGGTTAAGAGATCGACCATGATTGCGATGGTGGCATAGTCTATTAAGCTAGTTGGGGCAGAAGCTGGGCAATTGCTTACATCATAGCCATAAGTGCCTACACTTAATGCATGAGGTTTAAGAATGCTTCAATAAGGACAACCAGGTGCCCCGCATTCATCCCCAAATGTGAGTCATGGGTCATTGAATAGATGCCAGTAATACCCTGGTGTCTAAGCGAAGGTGGACACATCCACATAGGGAAAAGAATATAGCTATCCGCATTTTGTGAAGGTATTATGGGTCTGGGGAAAGCTTTTTCACTGAAGTGTTTATTGAGAGGGTTCATAGGTGAACATTCATGTGATATTCAAGGCTCTCATTTTAGCACCAAAATATTAAGGGAATGCACTGTCGACAATCGAGTTGGCCCAGCTTTGTCTTGTATTGAAGGCATAGAGACATCCGAGGAACCCTTGTGACGACCTTGGAATAATTGGGGTGGCTTCAAGGCGGTCTTCGTGTAACCTCGACCCATCCGAGATGATCTTAAGGTTGAGTTGAGGTGGAATCTAGTTTCTCAGTGGGCTCCTGCATGAAGGTCAACATCGAGAGGAGTTTCTCGACTTCACCCCTCCAATGCCCATGTTAGTTCGAGAAATTATATGGGATGTGCGAGATTTTTAGAAAGAGATCCAATCATCAGGTCAGCGTCAAGAGTTAGCTTTTATACTTGACCGATTGACAAAGTCCTTCATAATGGCTACAACGTCCCCTTTGGCATTTTGTTCACAAGAGTGACAGGCCCGAATAACCTCTCTTGATTATTATCCATAGGAGCTGATAAAGGGGGGGGGGGAGGGATAGGACTGAATGGTCTGCGTGAACTGTTGGCCACAAAGGCCGATAGGACTAGTCCAAATAACTTATCATGGACTATTATCCATAGGAGTGACTATAACTACCTTCATGTTATTACGTAATAAAAAGTGATTCAGCTTTTTGTTTTCATGTCAACCCTTTTAAGGTGATTAGCTGATAAATAAGGATTAATTACCAAAATATTTCCTATCAGTTATGAACCACAATCACATAAACTGCATCCATTATATAGTTTCTATGACATGCATGATTATTTTGAAAAAGATAACACAATAGCTGATATATTTTAATAATCTAAAAAACGAAATAAAAGAGGATGAGAAATATCAATAATTGTTTCTATATCCATATGAGTTAGATTTTTTTTTTTTAAGAATAAGTGACGAACAAGGGATCAAAATCTAGAATCTTATGATTATCTTTCAAAATCTTTACTATTTGAACCTGAGTTAAGAAATTTCTCACGTTATTACCGAGTGTTAAAAGAGAGCCGTACTAACATAAATATGTATATGCACACACATAGTTTATGACTTATTTTGATTCTTTTAGGGAAAAAAAAAATCAACCATTGTCCTTAATTTTATTTTCTTGAATACAAATCAGTCTCTTAATGCTTAAACTGATCCAAACACCCTGTTCATGCCAACATAGCTTAATTTGCAGATGAGTCACGGATGGTCCTATCATAATTTAGTAGCTAAAAACTTCAAGGGAAAGCTCTTCAACACACATTGGATTCTGTAGCTCTTCAAATAAGGAGTTTTTGAGACGCCATGAAATGTATCTTCACTGGAGTCATCAAGCTCGGGGGTATATGATGCAAGAAGATAAGCATCACACTGTTCCTTCCACTGGTGGAAGACTCGAGTAGCCATTGTAGGTGGGCTTATCAAAATTAAACCCAAGTATTCAACCATCACAAGCTTCTCTTGTAAGTTCATGTCAACGTGGCTTGCCAAATTGTGGAAGATATGTTGGGTGATCCATCAACGTCGTCCTCATTGCAAATGAGGTGGTGACAAGTGAATCAAGTCATATTAAATTGCAGTTCTCCATCAGATGCTGTAGGTTTGACAAAAGAATGCCAAGGGAGCTTAAGACTGTGGAACTGTTTGATTGCTCTCAGCCCTTTGCCGCTTCCAGGTTTATTTTCTCTTCTTCTTCCTTTTCTTCCTTCCTCTTTGTTTTCTTTCTTTCTTTTCTCTTTTTTTTTTTTTTTTTTTCTCAAGGAATAGAGATGATATAAGACTTCCACCAAGAGATTGCCCAGACTACTCGAATTGGAAGATTCAACGAGTAAGGCATGGTGTGTGAACCTTTCATTTTGCTTTTGAAGGCTTTGAATAATAAGCTGATGAAATGATTGTTTTAATCTGGAAGATACTGAAACCAATAAAATAATTGATAAGGGAGATGTGGTGGCATTGTCAGCAATATGCCTACGAACATCAATCCAAAACAGTAGCCTAAGAAACATTAGGCTCTCATCAGAATTGACAAAGGAGAAAAATATTCGTAAGATATTTTCTTAATTTAGGATACGGTAATCGACATCTAGTTTTTTATTGTATTTATTTCATTTTTATTGAGATTGATTTGAGTGTCGAAGAGATTAGATGGTGAAAAGTCTTCATCTATCTTTTTTGATAACAGGTTTCAGACCTGTTTTACCTGCAGATAAGTGACAATGACTAAATATTGCTTCGAGTCATAGCTCATTGATGCTACCCAGTAATTGTCCCAACTCTAAAATTGAATTAGACTTCATTAATGGGTGGCAACAAGGAATTCATGTGACTCACTTCTTTTGCCAACTAATCCCTTCAACTAAAATAGATCTTATACGACCATATTAAATATTTGATAATAAAGTTTGTACTTCATTAAAAAAATAATTATTATTTAGCGACGACAGATTATCTAATCAAATTAAATTCTCTCTTCTTACGTTTTCCAAAATTTGATTCATTCACATTCTTCCTCTCATTAACAAAAATATTTTAATAGAATTATCATGTATGAAATTAAGCATAATTTTATAAAAAAAATATTTTTTGAATCTCGAAGATAATTTTATAGTAGTTTGATCATCGTGACCTACATCGACTTTCGATTCTTCTTCACTCGAGACCATCGACTTCTACTATCAATCTTCTTTTCAACGGATAAGATCAACTACCCTTTTACATAATTTTTTCTCATTTTCACAAGTTTAAGAGATAACCTTTATAACTATTCACTAATCTCTTAAACTTCACCCAACACTTAGAGCTTGAGAGGAATTCTCACAATATTATAACAGAGTTTTCTTTCTTTTTTTGCTCTCAATTCTTGTGTTCACTCAGCAGGAATGAGTGAAGTTTTTATAGGTCCCAAATAGATTTAAATTTGGAGCCAAAAAATTGAATTTCTGGGATTTCAAGGTCCGTCGGTACTGAGCAATACCACCGCCAATATTGGACGGTACTACCGCCAATACTTTCTGACAATAGGCAGTACCACCGTTCAGTCTAGCGATATTATCGCTTGACACACTCACATTGGACGGTACCATCACATAGTTTGGGGGTACCACCACTTACACAGTTTGAGATATTGTGTCTGACTGGTACCATCGTCTACTCTGAGCAATGCCATCGCCAGACCCTGGTATAAGATACTGAATGGGCCAGACTAGATGATGGTATCGCTGAGACCGTTTTTAAAATTATGTCAGGTGATTATACTATCGAGACGGTCTTCAAAATTATGTCAATATTATCATTCTAGACATAGCTAAGAAATAATCTTTAAAACCGTGTCAGACTACTTTTCCCGTGGATTGGATCAGTATATTCCTTGTTTTTTTCTAATCCGATTCTTTCACCGTCATAAACTCGGATTAGATTCATGTACGTTTGCTGCCAAATGTCAATAACACAAGGAAAAAAAAAGCCACTTGCACAAGTTTTTAGCTCACTCATTCCCGAAACATCAACATCTTCTTCTCTTCGTTCCACAAGCCAACGCAACCACAGCACCGACAAGTAACCTTTAATGGCGATTGCCCAACCATCACCGATAATAAACCTCTACAAACTCTCGTCCTTATCGTCTCTCAAGATGTGGCATTTTGTTTGACCTTATGATCTGAGTAATAAATACTAAATGACTGTTAATTTCTCTCTTCTCCGGAAATCGACGGCTTGCCTCTCCGGGCTAGGAGACTGCCACAAGCTCTTCTGTGTCACAATTCTAGTAGGAATGCGTCAATTCTGAGTGAATACTAAAAGTCCGGAGTGACGTTTAGAACATTCTTTGTGAAGACAAATCTATAATCACTAGTAACACTTGAAACATGTACCGCCATATGCATGATTGCACCATTATGGTCTGTACTTCCACAGCGCCTACTGCCATTAGAATCATTCATGTTCTGCTTCTTATAGTAATCGAGATGATATTTGAATAGGAACTCACAGAACTGAAGTCCTAAACGCTTGGGAACAGAGCAAACGGCAGTTGCGGAAGGCCGGCCGGCCACCTTTCCTTAGTCACGCCTGGCTTCCACCCTCACGCCTTTTCCATGGTTAGCGTACCCTCACCGACTCCCAGCCTCCGCACCTTCCCTTTCTTCCGCACAGGTCCCCCCTTAGTAGAGACACTTCTCCTTGTGAAGTGGCTGTTCTTGTGGCCTTAAAGAATACCGATATATAGGCTTTTCAGAATATATGTCGCATTTATTCTTCAGCGTTTTCCGCTTGTTAGATCGATCCAACGGCTAAAGCTGATGGAAGGCACGCCTACGACTCTTTCCTCCGATCCTTATATTACGGTAGTGCCAGAGTCTACTTGTCTTCCATTCTCTCTCTTCTAGCTAGCAAAGCTCGACGCCATGGACTCCAGCAACGAAAGCATCCTCTTCTATAGCCCCGGTGTTTCCACCACTGCTGCGGGTCTCTTTAGGCTGTTGCCTGAGATTCAAGTCGTTGAGCTCCTCCTGGCCATCTCCATCTTCGTCGCTATCCACTCCCTCAGGAAAGGGAGCCGTCAGGGCCTCACGTCGTGGCCGGTGCTTGGCATGTTGCCGTCGCTCGTCCTCGGAGTCCGTAAGAACATCTATGAGTGGCTCACCGGCGTGCTTAACCACCAAGGTGGCACGTTCACCTTCTGCGGGCCGTGGTTCACCAGCCTTCAGTGCGTCATTACTGCCGACCCTCGCAACCTGGAGCATCTCCTCAAGGTCAAGTTCACTAACTTCCCCAAGGGCGAGTACTTCCGCACCTCGGTCCAAGATCTCCTCGGCAACGGCATCTTCAGCGCCGACGACGAGACCTGGCGCAGGCAGCGGAAGATCGCGAGCCTCGAGTTCCACTCGGCCGAGTTCCGGTCCATGACGGTGCAGTCCCTCGTCGAGCTCGTCCACTCGAGGCTCCTCCCGGTGCTCGCAGCGGCCCACGACCGGCGCACCCCGATCGACCTCCAGGACGTGCTCCTCCGGCTGACGTTCGACAACGTCTGCATGATCGCCCTCGGGACCGACCCGGGCTGCCTGCGCCCCGGGCTGCCGGAGATACCGTTCGCCAAGGCCTTCGAGGACGCGACCGAGGCAACGACCATGCGCTTCATCATGCCGACGGGCGTGTGGAAAGCACTGCGCTACCTCGACCTCGGGAGCGAGAGATGGCTCCGGAGGTCCATCGAGGTCGTCGACGAGTTCGCCTACGAGGTGATCCGGGCCAGAAGGGAGGAGCTCTCGTCCTCGGAACAGACGCGGACGGCGAGGTCCGACCTTCTGACAGTGTTCACGAAGCTAACAGACGAAGACGGCAAGCCCTACTCCGACAAGTTCTTGAGGGACGTGTGCGTCAACTTCATACTCGCCGGCCGGGACACCTCGTCGGTGGCGCTGGCCTGGTTCTTCTGGCTACTGAACCGGCATCCGAAGGTCGAGCAGAGCATTCTTAGCGAGATAAGGAATATAACAGAGGAGAGAGGAGGAGAAGCAGATGGTGAGTTGGTGTTTAAGCCCGAACAAGTGAAGAGGATGGATTATCTGCATGCAGCGCTATCGGAGGCTCTAAGGTTGTATCCTTCGGTACCAATGGACCACAAGGAGGTAACATCTCATGCATGCTAAGCTATTGCACCAATAATACATTATTCAATGTTACCTTATCACAACAAATGAAATTGATTATGAATTATGCATGCAGGAAAACATCAACATATGAATTATAGGAGAGATTACCTGCATATTTTGCTAAGTCTTATTTTAGTATTTTTCTATAAAAAAATTAAATATTTCTCAAACTGCAAATCAGCTTGAGGTTGGAAGTCATACATATTTCATGACTTTTTTTTATTGAAATATAGTACCAAAATTGGATTTCAACAACACATACTTTTTTGTTTTTTTACCTTAAAAATATATATAAAAAAAGACAAGCGTGTATATATTTCTTATTCCTCTAAATTTGAGCTTATGATGTGCCCTTTTAGTTAATTTCTGGTTTTTTATTATACAAATCTAATTATTGAAGCTCTAAGTGCTTTCTTGTTATATATGTTTGTCATACGTTATTAGTTCAACTAATCATGGTGGATAGTCATTAAATTGAGTAATTTGGATGGATTTTTAGTGAGGCATATATGGATGGCTATAGGAAAAAGAAGAATTCTTTGCTTTTATTGCTATCATAATGTTAATTAGGAATAGCTTTTGGTGGGGTGGGATACACGACAAGTAGGATGTATGGATCCAAATCATTACGACATATGTCCTTGTCTCATCCTCCACTGAGTTGGGACCGGCGCACGGTGCATCGAACTATAAGCATGTCGTGTCGTCATCTTGTGTTTTATAGGTCGGACAATTGCAGAACAATGATGTCCTCTTCTGCTTCGTTTTATGAGTCAAGTGGCGGCAGTAAACTTTGGATTAGGTTTTCTGTAGGGGTCATTCTCGGCAGTGGCCCAGAGCTGTAAATGTGACTCCCATCGGACACCATGAACACATCCAAGTAGGTCGGAAGCCATGCATTTATATGCTATGGTGGAGTTAGTGCAGGATATCGATGGTTTTGACAAGGAAGCACACCAGTGAAGATTCTGAATCGTGATGTTGTGTTTGGACAGGTTGTGGAGGACGACGTGTTTCCTGATGGCACGGTGCTGAAGAAAGGAACGAAGGTCATCTACGCCGTGTACGCGATGGGGAGGATGGAGAGCATATGGGGGAAGGACTGCATGGAGTACAAGCCGGAGCGGTGGCTCAAGGACGGGCGGTTCATGAGTGAGTCGGCGTACAAGTTCACGGCCTTCAATGGCGGACCGAGGCTGTGCGTGGGCAAGGACTTCGCGTACTACCAGATGAAGGTGGTGGCCGCCTCCATCCTGCATCGTTACCAGGTGAAGGTCGTGGAGAAGCACCCCGTGGTGCCCAAGATGGCGCTGACCTTGTACATGAAGCACGGACTGCAGGTCACCCTCTGCAGAAGAGATGAAGTGGAGCCGGTGGAGAAGATGAAGAAGAACAAAAGCTAGATAGCTAGGTTACGTACACTCTGAAGAAGAGATGAAGCGTGGCTTACCATTAACATGTTATTAAATCTAGGGTTTGAAATAATGATCGGGACTCGTCTGGTTTGGAAGAATATATGTGTGCATGTATGTTTAGCATTTCACTGAAAGAACTCAGTGAAATACATTACTTGCAAGAAATTAGTATTTGCGTGTGTAGATCAAAAGTGAAGAAGACAAAATAAAAAAGGTCAAACCTGCAGTCTTTTGTGTGCAAGAAGAGTATTCTTCTCTCGATATGACACCTTGATGTTGGAGTAGAATTTATATTCACCTGAAAAGATCTGACACGTATATGTAGACACCTTGATGTTGGAGTAGAATTTATATTCACCTGCAAAGACCTGACACGTATATGTAGACACCTTGATGTTGGAGTAGGATTTATATTCACCTGCAAAGATCTGACGTGTATTAAAGCGTCACAAACCAATGAAACCTATGATAGATACAGAATTCTCTCTTTGAAAAGGAGCTGCAGAAAGAACTTTCACTGACAATTAATGAAGAAAGAGACTACCCTGTGACTATATAGCCTTGACAGTTGCGTAACTATAACCTTGACAGATCGATGCATGATCTCAATCACTCGTTAATAGTCGAATGATACGAGTAGTCAAGTCTCCCTCAACCTAGTCTTTCACATAAAATAAATAAATAAATAAAAAGTGTATTCTTAAGGATTTCTGACTAAACATACTCATTAACTTCCATAATTATCAAATCCTCTAAAAAGGCCCCCAAATGTCTTCTTAAAGATTTCAGAGTAAACACACGCTCATTAACTTCGAATCTTCCAAACTCACCACGAGTACTGAATACATGCATATATTTGAAATGGAAGATTTAAGTACAGAAAGGAATGGTGAGCTAACAGATTTTGATTACATACACAGAGGATGACATGTGGCATCTTTTTCTTGGAGGGGTATAAAGAAATTAAGGCAGACAAATCTTTTCATGAGCAGAAGATACATCCTTACGAAGTTCTCCATGATTTCCTGAGCCTTTCTACAATGTAAAAATTGGCTGAACCATCTTCTCATTCTTGCACAACTATAAATCGCTTGCTTTCCCAGTTTAGCCATTGATTATTTTCTAAGGCTGCTCTGATACTTCATCATTCATAGCCAAACAATCCTGAACACCTGATAGAATATGAACTCTAAATTTTTTTTGTTTTGAAAATTGAGAAGATAACACTATATTGTCAATAATGCATCGAGGTCTTAATTCAGACATTAAGTATTCAGTTCAATTTTGATACATGCAGCAAGTTCTCAAATTCTTCCGTGCATGCTGCTTCCAAATTCATTTCACAACCCAAATCAGAACGGGCAAACAGAGCCAACAAGTAAGAAGGTAGGTTTTTGAACAGAAGCTGCACATCGCTAAAATTTTCACAAAGCTCCTGGTGCATCTCTCATGCTTACGTTTAAACTGTTCCGCAGTGTCCGCCTACCGATTCCCATGGTACCCTTTCTCATCATAGCAACAAATTCACTATAGTCAATACGGCCATCCTGAAACATGACAAATGAGTCTATGTCAGGTATTGGATGTGGTAAACCAAAGTTTCAGAAGCATATATCAAGTGTTTTTCTTAAAGATTTGAATGCTTGTCACAAAAGCATATGAGTCCTTGCACAATCTCAAGCATATGAGCTCACAAAAGCATTGCCACAAAGATGCAATAGAAACAAATAACTTTGTCGTGTTATTTGATACTACATATTATGACACCCTGGAGAAGCTATAAACAGGGTAAAGAACATTAACGACAAATAAGCAATCTAGTGAGAATGGTTACAAACTTTTATAACTGATCCCAATCATTTTACAAAAGCTGAATCCTCATTAGGCATGCTACCAGACAATTTCGGAGTAGCATATCAAAATAATCCTATAGATCAGCAACTCAAATCACAAGCAACAATTCTTTTGATACAAATGAACAATTTTGATTATATAGGTGTACTCAGTTCTGCGTTTATATAACGATTTTGTGATTATGTTTTGTTAATGTGAAAGAAAACAACAGGCAGTGTAGATTCCATAAAAAAATTTTAAATATTAGCTAGCAGGAAAACAGAGAATTCAGATTAGATTTATTGATTGAGCTCAATCAGGCCGATGAATAAAGGAAATGTTATGTTGGTCTCTACCAAATCTATATTTAGCTTATAGTAGATACAACTTACATTATCCTGATCCACTTCCCTAATAATGTCTTCGAGGGAAGCATCAGTCATATTATGCTCCTTACAGGCTTGCTGAAGTTCATCAACTGTGATATAACCACTTCCATCCTTGTCAAAATATGAAAAAGCTGCCACCAAATGTTCTTCACGTTCCAATTTGTTGAGATGAACTGTTGCAGCAATAAATTCACCATAGTCGATGGTACCACTGTTGTCCACATCAGCCTGAAAGCATTTTACGAAGTCAAAAACATAGCACAAAAACTTATTCTTTTTTTTAAAAACTACAATCATCAACCTTTATAATCAAAAGGCTTCCTAAGCAGATATGCCTACCATTAAGGAATAACAGTGAAGAATTCTAGAAACTTATCAGATGACAACTGTAGCTTCCCATGTACAATCTGTACATTCATTCTCAGTTTCAGATCAGTGCCCATGAAAGTAAAAATGAGCACATAGATTAGAGTTCATAGTGCAACCCAGAACATCATATTCTATCTAAATAGAGTTCATCATTAACCATTTATGCTCCAGAATTCAAGTGATGCCACATAGTTATTAGAAATCGGTCGAGTCATTCCCATACTTCTATGGCTTTTGTGTCCAATAAGACAAAAAGTTTAGATCCATCTATTCCCAACCCAATTTTGACAATCAAATTAAATAACAGCTTTAAATATTTCTTAATCTCCATGTACTATTATGTTGTGCAAGGTCATTAGGAAAATAAAATTTTAACCCTCAGCTCTAGACATATGTTGTACCTGTTAGAGATTAATATAGATCAGGTTATTTCCTTATAACTTAATTCCTGACAACTTAAGCTTTTAAAATAAGTGAGGATCCTATCAAAATCTTTATCATTAGACTGGAACAGATTGTCTATTTGAGTCTTGTATTGTCCCCTCTTTATTTCACCCAATGCTTAACTAATATTTGTGCAATAGTCATTCTTTATTTAGGTTGCACCATGAAAATGGCTGGAGTTTCACTTGTCAAGCCTAATTGTTCATTTAGAGTTTAATACAGATTGAGCCCTTTTCTGACAACTTAAGTTTTCAGGAATATTGGTCACCCTAAGTAAAATATTTATCAGTGCCATAATGTGAAAATTATAACCGGTAGAAAATAGAATTTTTCTGGTTCCCACTTCAAAATATATTGTATTTCCTGATAACTACAAAATGATGGATAAACATTCCATTTATGAAAAATAAAACAGCTTGGTGTTCTTAATTATAAACATAAAAAACACAGAACAAGCAATTAGTGTTGTGAGGGTGATGCAACAGCAGAGTTTGAACAGAAAAAGAGCGACTTTATAGTCCAAATGCACATGTAGCATGCAGTAAACTAAAAGCATACCTTTGGTAATAAGCAGTCATCAAATCAAACTAGTATATACTTATAAAAGAAAAATGTTATCTTACAGCTTCCATAAGATCACGAATTTCCGTATCCTTCAGAGTGGAACCATATCTTCTCAAACCTGCTTTAAGCTCATCAAATGTAATTGATCCACTGTTGTCTGTATCCATTGCCTGGAACATTTCTCTTAATCCAGCAATCTCCTCCTCTGAAAGGCCTTCAGCTATAACCTGATAGGGAATAGGGCCAATCTTTGAGAATGTAAATATAATGACTTGTACCGGAGTACAAAAATGTAATATTTGAATACACCTATAACAGCTTCGGGGTCTAAATTTGTTCTTTTAGCTTCAGCAAATCTCTCAGAACAGTCAAACTAGGGGTATTCTTAATCCTAATTAACGAAACATCATCAAATTTTAAGCTGTGTACTCACTCGCAAAGCCATCTTCTTTAATTTATTCATTGCTGAAAATTGCTTTAGGCGTGAGAGAACTGCAGGATCAAGTGCTCGATCAGGAGCAACTCCATGCTCACAAATCCATGGATGACCTGCGCACGCAAAAAGGTATGAAATGACATATGCCATTATTGATATCTTGAAACTTGAAAGTACAATCATTCTGACAGAATGACATCTATAGATTCAGCATCTAAGTCCTGCTCCTTGCAACCACAATGTTTTCAACATTTTAATCTCAAGTAGCATTTGGTTCATGAACCTTGCACCACATATGCCACTTTTTATACCAAAGTACTACAGGACTTTGTACTGCAAGATTTCACAGATGCAGTCTAAAGATATAAAAACTGTACGCAGATGAGCAAAGAAAACTCTTTGTAGGATGTATAGTTCTCTCAAGAAAGATGATTCTAGCATACCATTACCTTTGCTAAGTAAAAGACACAATGACATTTCACAATAAGGAACCATCATTTTTTTAGATCTCTAGCATTCATGTGAGCAGAAGAGTTATTTCGGGAACCTAAACTAGTTAATGGATGATAACTGGAAAATATTTCAATCTACACAAAAATCAATAGAAGTATTGTCAAAGACAAAGCCTTCTTATTGCATTTTTCTTTGTCTCTTTTTCATCATTGCTAGCACATTCATCATTTCAGCCTCTTCTTTAAAAGATTGCACTGAACTCTAGGATTGCTCTAGCTTAGTAAAAGCCATTGGTGAATAATTGTTCAGAAGAAATGTGGAACCACCATGTTTGTGGTGCATGTAAAACAAAAGAATTATTTTCAGAAACCTGAATATTGTAATAGATGATGAATGGAGAGAGTATTATCTACAATTTTGTAATTCATTCAACTTCAATAAAGCTTTGTTCTTAAACAGATTCTCCAGAGTTGGTTCATTAGACACTTTTACACTAGCAATCCCACAATTAGAGCTTCTTGTCCATAACCAAACCAAACCAGAGGAGGGAAGGAAAGAAGGAAGGGTATCGGGTATAAAGTACTTGCTTCTTTAACACATAACATCTCACTGTCTCTCATAAAAATATTACTAGCCTACATCATTGCAAAAAAGAATAAAATTACATAAAGTGCAAACTCAAACTGCATATTTTATGTTCCTTGTATAGAAAAACAATGACATATATAAGCAAGGAATCAAATATCTACAATTTCAGATTAGAACATACATAGTACTTGGTGGGCTGTCAAGCGTTCTGAAGGAAGAGAGCAAAGCATCTTCTTTATTAGAACCTTGGCACTTTCAGAGATCAAAGGCCATGGATCTGAGTCAAAATCAATGACTCCCTTCATGATTGCATCAAATATTCCTTGCTGTGTTTCTGAAATCAAAATAATCAGCTTTAATAATTTCTCTTGTTATAAAATATAATAGCACAAGGACATCGAGGTCACACCAGCCCAAAAAGGTGGCACGCCACTCAATAGTATATATAAGATAACACCAGCAGTCCAGACATCAGCTTCTGGTCCATAGTGCTTGCATAATACTTCAGGAGCGACATAGTATGGGCTTCCGACAACATCAGTAAAAATTTGACCTGAATGAAGCATGAAAACCAAGAGTTTGCAATCAAAGAAGAAACAGAATGTGATTAAGCAAGCAGTAACGACTAATGAAGATTGTAGAAACAACAAAGACAAAATAATATATGAACTATGAAGTATATCACAAGAACAAAGGACTAATGATAAGCCTCATTGAGCTTCGAAAGTGGCTGAATCTTCAATACAGTTAAAGAATTTGATAAATAAAACATGTTCAATTATAGTCTTAAGATGCCAATATCAATGAACAAATATAACCTAAACGGTGATGTGTTATGCTAATTTTTCATTTTGATAGGAAAATAGAGAATCAAATCATTTTTTTATCATCAAAGTAAATTGCAAAATGTACTAGACATGTCATATAACCATTAGATTAAGTGATAGAATGGAACATTTCTGCACATGTTTAGCTTTTACCAGATGAAACACAAAAGAGTAACTAGGCCTTGTACCAAGAATAATTTGACAAAATCAAAGATAGTATCTAGGAAGTTGTGAAACGAATAAGATGAGCATTTTGTGAAACGAAAAGCATAAATTTGACCTTTTTCACCTTTTCTTTGTGTTCAAAAATACATTTGTCTTTTAAAATTCAGTGTTCTACAGACACTAATTAATTCCTGAGTTGTTAAACATACCCCCCTTCCTCCCTGTTCCAAATAGGCAAATTCAAGGCAAACACATAATTATGCATTCCCAATAAATGAATTTAGGGCAAGTCATTAGAGAACACAAATAACCAAGCAAGCATATAAATACAGAACCCAATTGTCTTATAAGAAATAAGTCAGTTACTTATCTTGTCCTTTTACTGTGTAGTGAATTTGAGCTCCTCCCCTGCTACAGAATAATGGAAAAAATGATAGTCGTTTATTAACAAAGGCTTGTAATGCTTCTAGAAACATCTAAAACACCCTGAAGCCAGATCTGGAGAGAAGACATCTAAAAGGCAAATCATCAATTGCCTCTAATTAACTTTTGCATACTTCTGCTTCATCCTAGATCATTTCTTACCAGCAATTAGAACACAAGTTGACAGCCAAAATATCTAATCCATAGAACACGTATTGTTAATATGCAAGACTCTATGAGCCAAATCCAAAAGCGCCTAAACTTGTGATTGTTAACTTGTCTAAAGGCATCATTTATTGGCATGCTTGTTGTTTTAGTTGTCAAAAGTGGGTAGGAAAGAAGCACATTCATCCCAGGTCAAAGTGTGATTTTCACTATTTCCATGGTGCTCAAAATTTGCGAAAGAAAATATATATGCCAGTTACGCTCATTGCACTGACATGTCTGCCCAATCAGCTATTAAGCCTTGGTGTCAAGGTCAAACCCAAACAAGTGCATTGAAGTGGACTGATAAGAACGGATTTTGGTTCGCTATTGTTTCCACCAAAGACCAACGCACAGAAACAATTCGAGAAGGCAGACAAACTGATGACTTTGTAAAAAGACAATTAGGGCATGAATGCAATGACACTTATCATAAAGGAAGCTAACATAAACCCTACCGCTTCCAAACAGAACATAACTAAAGAAGCCACAATATGCTGCAATCTAAGTAATATTCTAGACATTGAAACTGCCAAAGATGTGTTTTTTTCCCTTTTCATCCCTCCTTACCTGGCTTGAAGAACACAGAGAGCCCGAAATCAATGGCCTTGAGGGAGGAGTCATCGTCTTTATTCACCAACAAGAAATTCTCCGGCTTCAGGTCCCGGTGCATGACCCCCAGCGAATGGCAGGCCTCCACAACCCCAACAATTATCCGGATGAGCTCTGCCGCCTTGCGCTCACTGAAATGCCCCCTCTCGATGATCCGGTCGAAGAGCTCCCCCCCGGAGCACAGCTCCATCACGATGTGCACGTACAGCGCGTCCTCGAAGGCGCCCTTGATAGTGACGACGTTCTTGTGGCCGGAGAGGTGGTGCATGATCTGGATCTCCCGCCGCACGTCCTCCACGTCCTCCTTCGATATCAGCTTCCGCTTGGCGATGGACTTGCAGGCGTAGTCATTCCCCGTGGCGATCTCAGTGCACAGGTACGTGGTGCCGAACTGCCCCTGCCCCAGCTTCCGCCCCAGGATGTACAGGTCCCGGATGTCGGGCGTCTTGTGGCCGAGCACGTAGTTGGAGCTAGGGTCGAAGCCCCGCCTCATGATGACGGCGGCGGCGGCCTCACGCTGCTGCTTGGGCGGCTTCTTGGGGGAGTCGTCGGGGACGGAGCTGCACTCGGACTGGTGGAGGCACTTCGACGACGGTGGCTCGGCGGAGCTGCGGCGATGGTACTTGCTTCCGAAGGATCCCCGGCAAGAATTGCCCATCAAAACCTAGAAAGAGGTCGCATCGAGCGCCGCGATGTCGCAGACGGCTGTCGACCTCAAGGAATTACTCAATCGAGTAGATGATTGGAGACAGAGAGATCGTCTTAGGGAAGAAGAGAGAGAAAGGGGTGGGAGAGAGAGAGAGAGAGACAGAGGGTGAAGTCGCTGGCTTCGTTGCAGCAAATCGGCGAACACCCTTTACCCTTTGCTTGAATTCGTTCACTTCATCAAATCAGTGGTTCAGTAGAACAGTGTAGTGGGTGGATTTTAATGCACCGAGGACTCAAATAATGTGTGGTTGTTGGATTTTTTTGGGTGTTTTGTTGGTTCGTTATCCTTTTTCTTATTGGGTTGATGACAGCTACGAATAAATTTGCATCAGCAGCCTGTCAACATATATTTATTCTGCTGATAGTGCAATGTCATTTAAAATAATTATATATATTTTAAAAACCAATTATTTTATATTTTAAATTTAAAATTTAAATTTATCATATAAAAAATATTATCCTCTTCAGACTTATAGAATTATCTCTATAAATACTATTATACAATGTTAAAACACTATAATGATAGTGTTTCTCGGATCGGATTAAACGCCCGAAAGATAACAGATCCGAATTCGGATGGATCGGATCGTTCTTTAGAACCCTCACCCGGTACGCGTTCGATCCGCTTCCGCGCCTCTACTACCCCGGCAGGGGTCGCTCGGCTCCAACGGTTCTCGCGTCCCTGGGGCGGAAAAGGCGCCCCTTTCAATACCCACACCTCGTCTTCTCCTCCCTTCTCCCTCTTCCGCTGCTCGATCTCCTTTTGGTTCTCGTCTCTATCTCTTCTTTGATATGAATCCAAGGGGAGATTCGACTTCCGGAAGCGATGGCGCTGCCGAGCCGAGGAGGAAGTCCAAGAAACCCAAATGTGCGTCACCCCATCCTTCCTTTCCTTATTTCTCTTTTAACATTGCGAATAAGTCGACTCTTCTTTTTTTGTTTCTTCTGTTCGGATTAAATGTCAATTGAAGCAATGTAGGTTGTATTAGTTCTACCATTATTAAATTTACATCATTTCTTATAGAAGTCGGCCATCGTTTTTGAAACTGTCTTGTGGGAAGTGGAAACTGTAATTTTCTGCGGCGTTCTGAATTTAAGATGAGATAGAGTAGTGTTCCAAGCAAGGTGAGCGTTGACTTGTGAATTGTGATTAGTTGTGAGGATATTTAGCTCATATTCTGTGTATATTAATAAGGATTGCATCTTTTATCAAAATGTTTTTGTATCGGATCGGAAAGAGTTGTAGTGATTGATGCATAGCTCAATATCTGCTTGATTTCCACGTATTTCATTCTACTAAGTCCTTTTGTCTTGTAAATCATAGCATAAAATATCTTTCGCAACAGAGAAAATATAGCTTTGGAAAATAGTTTAAGACTCTTGTAGAAATGTAGTCTGATATTGGGGAACCGTGCAAAAGCATGTGTCAAGATACTTTGTAGCCTGAGATTGGATGATGCATACTTTATTCCAAAATATCATGCTTTCAATAGCTGCATCAAAGTTGTTCATTTATTTACCTGTAAAACATTGATCTTATTAATTCATTTTAAGCTACTGTCTGATACTATGTTGAGGCCATCTTTTTGCATCTCACGATGGCCTCCGATTTTCTCTTTGAAATGCAACTAAGTGGTTTTTCTTTTCGATTCTAGATTCAAGGTTTACACAACAAGAGCTTCCTGCTTGCAAACCATTACTAACTCCAGCAATTGTAAGTACTTGTGATGATTATATAAAATTTGAACTGAAAAGACATGCTATTTTCCTTTTGAATAAGTTGGTGTGCTATTCTTTTTCATTTTGCAGGTAGTAACAGCATTTGCTTTCATAGGAATTATCTTCATTCCAATTGGACTTCTCTCCTTGTCTGCATCAGGACAAGTAAGTTCATTTTGTTCACTCTAGTTCATCCCCTGTAAATTCATGCAGTGTTAATGAATCTTGATTGACATGTAGGTGGTTGAAATTGTTTATCAATATGACACAGACTGCATTCCTGAGCAGTTGCAGAATGACAAAGTTGCATTCATCCAAAGCAGCACGACTAACAAAACTTGTACCAGAACTTTAACTGTAATCAAAATCGTCACTATTTCAGTTCCTCAGATTTATGTTGTTTTTAATGCAAGAACTCAGCATTGAGTGAGTATAACTCATATTTCAGGTGCCAAAGAACATGGAGGGTCCCGTTCATATTTATTATGAGCTTGACAACTTCTATCAGAACCATCGCAGGTTTGAATTACTTTTTACCTCTCTTATTCTTTGTTTTGTTTTCCTGGCTGATTCATTTTATGTAGCTTGACAACTTCTATCAGAACCATCGCAGGTTTGAATAACACTTTTACCTCTCTTATTCTTTGTTTTTTTATGGATGATTCATTTTGCATTGTCTGAAATTTTCTATTCACACAACCCAAACCATTGCATAATTTTCCTTCTTACTGAATGCACATTTAATTTGGTAACCTAGGTATGTTAAAAGCAGAAGTGATAAGCAACTCCGAAGCAAGGCAAGTGAGACAGAAACAACTAATTGTGCACCGGAAGCCACAACTTCAGATGGGTCTGTGATTGTTCCATGTGGTCTCATTGCATGGAGCTTGTTCAATGACACATACTCATTTGCAGTAAACAGTAAAATCATTGAGGTGAACAAAAAGAATATAGCCTGGCAAAGTGATAAAGAACATAAATTTGGAAGTGATGTTTATCCCAAGAATTTCCAGATGGGAGGTCTGATAGGAGGTGCCAAACTCAATGCCAGCATTCCTGTAAGTATTGTATTCTTCCTTTGATTTGACTTCCTGTTATATTGTTCGATTATTGTAGGAGGTGACAAACTCAATGCCGGCATCCCAAGAACTTCTTTTGTTCTTGTTGTATTTTAGTTGGGACTTATAGCTTTGTTATTATTGTTGTATTGTCCAATTATTTGTCTTCTATTTCTGGATGTCCTGTCATCATTTGTTTTTTCTTTATTCAACAGTGGCTAATTATTGTATGAACTGCAGTTAAGTGAGCAAGAAGATCTCATTGTTTGGATGAGAACAGCTGCTCTGCCAAGATTCAGAAAACTCTATGGGAGAATTGAGACAGACCTTGCGGCTAATGAGCAAGTCACAGTGACAATACAGAACAACTATAACACATATAGTTTTGAGGGGAAGAAAAACTTGGTACTTTCAACTACCTCCTGGATAGGTGGCAAGAATGATTTCCTTGGTACTGCTTATCTCACAATTGGTAGTCTATGCCTATTTCTTGCTATGGGCTTCATAATATTGTATTTGTTGAAACCCAGGTAAGCTTCTGGCCTGTCATTTTCTGTTATCACACATTCTATTGAAATATATCAAATACATGAAATATTTATGTTCATAAACCTTTAAATTTAGATTTGCTAAACCATCTTATTTGTTTTTTTTCCATCATTCAGCATGTCCAACTTATATTACCTGCGATGGATTCTTTAGTTAACAACTGTAATTCCATCAACCAGTGAACTATAGAACATTGTAGCTTTTACTGATAGATCCTTCTTAGTTCAAGCAAGTTTCTGGTTTTAGTTGGTGCATCAGAAGATATTTGGTTCACAGATGAGCTAAAGTTATGTTTCACAACTAATTTGAATTGGATCTGATAGAAATGCAAAGTGCGACAGTCGGCATAAACATCATATACCTTTTAGAACCAACCAACTAAATGCAAGTCCCATTATCTAGACATTGCATTTTTCGCTTCCTGGTGATGGTTAAGTTAATTCATATGATTCTTTTGCAGGACCCTCGGAGATCCTTCATACTTGTCTTGGAACAGGAATCCCGATGGACATTATTAGATTCACGAGACAGTAAAATTTATGCATGTGGAAGTGTTCTTTCAACTAAACAAGCGGTTAATGTGCTTAAGGTCTGTTTTCCTTTTGTGAGTTACACTAATGGATTCTGTTATCTCTAATTGACCAAATAAGTTCTTCGGAGATTGATGTCTATTGTTTAGTTGATATAATCCGATTCCTATAATCAGAGGGAGTTTTCCCAAAATACACTTGGCAAAACCACATGCATGAACAGTGTTTGTTCATATTCAGACACTTTGTAACTTTAGTTAAATCCGACTTAATTGAATTTGCAGTGGATTTCAATATATATATATATATATATATATATATATATATATATATATATATGATATTCATTTTAAGTTGAAGATTAAGTATATATCTGAACATTCTTGAAAGCAATGGTAAGCAGTGTTTAATACAGTTCAAAGAGCAGCTAAATTTGGTCAGGGCAACTCCTTAATCCCTTCTTGTACTTCTCTCCTTATAGGCATTTCTTTTCCTAATTATATCACCTTAAAAAAGAGGTGCTGACAGCATGAAATGTATATCGTTCGGACACCTTATAATTATCAAAAGTTTGTCTGCAAATGACTCTGATGATTCAGTATTACCTGCACAGGTTGCAATATTGTTTACATTTGATATAACATAAGCTTTTCACCTTATTTTGATCAGATCTTTTGAAGTAGACTGTCTCATATCACTGTGGAGATAATACTGAGCACAGATTAATAACCTAACAATGTTAGCAGCATAAAAAATAATGGCTCAGCTCATAAGATTTGTCAGAGACTCGTACTCATATCAGAACATCATTTAGATCACAAACAAGCAATCTCGACCGATATCTGCTTCAGTTGTGATGATGATATCATTGTCATCTAAATGCATGTAAAGCATAAACGATAAGCTGAAAGAGACTAAAGGCTGCTTACCAGTCGATGCACAGACGGACATTTCATCAGAACCACCGGAAAACTTTCGACTGTCATGTAAATGCATCTTCTTTCTTGGCTTTCTTCTCGCTCGGGGATTCCTCCTCGGCTTCAGATTCAGTATTACTCGGTGCTGCAAATGCCTGCTTCCTTTTCGAACGTGCCCTTCTGTTCTGAAACCAGTTATAGACGTTGGTCTCGGAAACTTGGCCATGTTGTGAGAGCTCAGAAGTGATCTCTTTGATCCTTTGCTTCCTTGGAGTTCCATTGCCATGGTAGAATATGCTCTCAAGAATCCGTACCTGCACAGCGGTTGGTGTCCAACGCTGCTTTGCAGAGATCTTGGCACCTCCAGATGGTTGATCAGCGAACAGATGACTCGACCTCGTTCCTGATGGCAGACAGCAATTTGATTACCCGAAAGAAACAATTCAAGAATAAGAGACATTCAAGAATAAGAATAAGCCTGAAAAGATCAGAAGGATTGAGAAGTGATCCTTAGCCGAAGTCAGATAGCTAAAAGGCAACAGTTCCGGAGTTGAGATCATAAGAAACACTAAAGGAAACAGTTCTTGCACTCGAATCCAGCAATCCAAGACTTCCCTGACGAGCATGATTACTCCAACAACCATGTATTTGACTCGAAACCTACAACCTCATGGAGTTGAAGACAAGGAAGTTCTAAAACTGTCAGAACTCGGAAGGAAGACGTAACCCAAATGAAATATCAAACTCAGAAAGTGCTCCCAAGAAAATAGATACGCTGAGGCACATAAAACTCTTCAATTTTAGGCATATCCAGCAGCTAGATACGAAGATCTTAAGAAAATTTCCAATTTTGGCTTAACCAGCAACCCAAGAGCACCCGAATCTGCCATGTTGAGGAGGAGGAGAACTAACAGAGAGAGGACCTGAGAGCGAGTCCTGCTGGGCCGTCATGGTCCTATGCATCTCCACGAGCTGCTCACAGATGGTAGCGTAGGCGGAGATCTGACTCCTCAAGACCTCCATCTGCTCGTCCGTCATCACCTTCGCGCATAACACTCCCTCCTCCGCCGCCCCTTCCGCCATGCTTCGTTTACTGACTTCGAATACAGTATCAGCAGCAGCAGAAGCAATCTCTCTCTTCCATTCCCTTCTCTCTCGTCTTCTCAACGCTCGCAAGGATTGAAGGAAGAAAATAGTTTCCGAATCTGCTTTCTTTCTCCTTGCTGTTAGAGGAAGAAATAACGACTCCAGAAACAGAACGAGACCTGCGGTTGGCCACCGCTCTCTCTCGAATGAGTTGGGAGCCGCCGGAAGGATTTGGGGAGCGAGAGGTGGAATCCAATGGCGGGGAATGGAAGATGGTAGGATCGGATTTGACGTGATGATGGGGTGGGGAGGTTGGGGTGCTACGTGACGTTGAGGTCAAGCCATGACGTGCAGAAGGGGAAGGGGGAAACGTAATTTGGTGAACGTGAGCCGATCCAATCAAATGAATCAATGGTGCATGCTAGGTAGGTCAGGCTAATACTCTGCGTCACCATTGTTGCCTAACCTCGAAGGTGGACGAAGTGGCTCTGTGTCTCCTCTCATGCTGAGGTGAGTCCTTTACCGCCATTGATGCTGGATTTTGTGGGCTTCGGCTGCAGCATGAACGCGTTCGTTCCATCCTTCCCAACGCGTTCTTCATCGCAGACATGAACGTGAATATATAGGACAACGAATGATATCTTATTGCGCTATCTTAAAAACGGGCGATAAAAAAAAGCTCCCGGCGAGGATCGAACTCGCGACCTTTCGCTTACGAAGCGAACGCACTACCACTATGCTACGGAAGCGACAGATGTGCGATCGTTATACATCATTTTACTGTCGAATAATCTTAGAATGGGCTTTTTGGGCCGTGGCCCAATAAAAAAGATCTTCTAATCTTTTTGTTGCATATATTATTTGTCTTTTTGATGAGGGGACAAAAAAATCTAAGGTTGAATATATATATATATATATATATATATATATATATATATATATATATATATATATATATATAATCTGATGAGGAATCGTATCTTTATGATTAATCCAAACGGTCAAACAATATCAACATGATCCTCATCGTAGATGACAAGATCTAACACCACAACAAACACGTATCTAAGCAAGAGGCCTTTGTGAATGCATTTAGATACCCCATTAGGTGTCCGAGCCCGCTTAACTAATGTTTAGAGTAAGAAACCTAACACTCATTAAGTGATCCAACCCACCTTACTGATGCTTAGAACAACAAAAACTAGAGAGGATAGAAAGAGCATCCGAGGTAGAGAGGACGACCACGTCGAGTCAACGCTGACTTTCTTATGCTGTTCCTCTGTTAAGGTTCTTTCAGAAACAGCCAGAGATGAGCACAGGAGGAAGAGTGACCAGACAAACACACTGAAATAGAAACATTTCCCCTTTGTCTCCATCAAACCAACGACGCTCGGTTTACAGTCTTAGCGTTGAGACTGTTTTGGGGAAGGCAAGGCGACTATGGAGGAGGTGGCCAACGTCGTCGGCCTCATCAGAACCTTCATCGACGCCGCCGAGACTGCACAAAGCCTCAGGGAGGATTGCCTGGAATTCCCGGAGTATCTGCAGCCGATCACCTCGCATCTGGAGAAGCTCCAGGACAAGGCACTCAGTGACGGTACCATAAAGACATTGACGAAGCTGGAGGATACACTGGAGAGGTCCTACGAGCTCGTCCACGGCTTCCACAGACAAAAATACGTCTCTCGTATGATCAACCACAGCCATCTCCGGAACCAGATGAGAAGAGCACAGGATGATATCGATAAGTACTTGAGGCTTATTCCACTCACCCTACTCTCGGAAGAGGTACACCCTATGATCTGCTTTTCCTGTCGTAGTTATATCGACTCATCGAGATGATCCTTCCTTGACATCCGAAAGCAGTCGTCTTATAGCTCATCGGATGTTAGAGACCACTGTGATCATGTCGATTCGTATGAGCAAGAAACTAATAGCGGTTCTGAGAAGTATCACACAGAAGATGAACAACACAGTGATGAAGAGTTGCTTCCCTGTGAGTCTAAGCATTTTATTATCCGGATATTTTGATTTTATCTTTTTATGTTTACATCAAATCTGTATAATCTGTTTGTGAAGGTAATAATAGATATGTTTGAAATTTATAAATGCATATAATTTGCATGATTTACAAATCATTTTATTATTGAAAAGTATTGTTAACAAAATTTTAATATTTATAATTAAAAAAATGATTTAATCGGTCATTGTTTTATAAGTATTTTTAAGTTATCTTATCTGAATTTATATGAAAATATCTATTCAATATTATATTTAAATAGAATTAAAAATATATATGAATATTGTTAGTTTTAGATGATATATGATTACATAAAGTTTGAAATAATATGAAAAAAAATCGTTTAAGCTCTTAGTCATGTAAAAGATAATTATTATATTATATTATATGATAGTTGTATGATGAGTATGATTATGATTTGGATCTTATCATAAGAGGTTACACATTAAAATATATTCCGATGATCAGTATATTATTAGACAAGTGACAGATCTCATGTATGAGTTTCATATATGTCATTTTAAATAATATTAAATCGATTACTTGATATTATTTTACACCTCTTTAGAGTATTTATGGTCTCACACATCCACAATTGGAATGCGATTCCTCCATCACTATGATTGATTACCTAAGTTCTTCATTCAACCATATTTTGCATGGAATAAAGCCATACAAAACATTGTGAAATTTTCATGCACACTTACTGAAGAAGAACACATAAATTCAAGCCAAAGTATTTCATATTGATAATGAACAACAACAACAACAGACCATAGAAAATGTATACTGAATCAAAGCTACTTTGGGCCATAAAGGATTCATCTTTATTGGGTGAGGAGAGGGGAAATAATCAAAATATCCACAGGCAGTCTTTTACTGAACATTCTTTCTCTGCAAACGCGCCTTATGATTGCGGATGAAAGAGTGTTTCTTCCACATCAAATCAAGTCTTTTGAGAGATATTTTGATGCCTCCACCACCCTAATGTCCATCGTCCATTAGAACACACATGATTCATATCACACTGCAACTCTCTACATGTTCATGAGTCGAGGAGATTACATGCAAGTATTGTACTCGATGGACGTTGCTTATTATTATCTTGTCAGATAGCAAACAAGAAAGTGATGATTGATAGCATCTATTCGTAGCAGCACATAAATGTTAGGGTTTCAAGGATCCAACCATCTGCTGAGACAGCTTTCCGTTCCTTTTTCTTCACCTTCAGACGATTTGACCACCCAAGAAAAAAAATTATAAGTAGAGAGAGAGAGAGAGAGAGAGAGGTATATAGTCTATTATATTTGTTTGATTTATATAAGTGTATTCAACCTTGTTTAGGGCATGGATTGCATCTCTCATATGACATTTGGAACAACTGCAACAGTACCATAAAAGGCATCCATAAAGATGTTTCTTGTAAGAACATAACATCTGGATTTCCTTTCTGCCCTGGTTTACTTACTATATGGATCTGCATTCAGAACAGAAACATGAACAGGCTTCCTTCCTGCTCTCATCTAACATTTGGATCTGCCGTCGGAGAGCAACAGTACCAAAACCGTACTCGTAAATCGATTCAGAAAGATGGAAGGCATTGAAGCAGATGAAACTAGCAATATACCAACGAGGAGTAACCTATTTTCCGCATGGCAAGCTGAAGTGTGCGTCTACAAAGAGAGACCAGCATATAATGAAGATATATGACACAGCAATGAAGCCAAAGGAAAACCCTCATGCCAACAAGTGTAGTAGTAGTAGGATGGATGCATGGTTCCATGAAGTGCAATCATATTTTTGCTTAGATTAGCAATACGTACGGCAAGAGTCTTCATCCTCACCTTCCTTGTAGATTCCATTCATCATCCATGAGTTCCTCGCCTGAGTTGTCGGTCTGCGTTCCTGTAAGAAACTTCAGGCTAGCGTTAGATCAAAAGATCTAATCATATGGGTTTTACAAAGAGAAGCCTACGGAGCTCGGTTGGCAGGCTGCCCACCTCCATATCTTTCTTTTGATGCTCTTGGTGCCATGAGAAAGGAAGGGTTGGAGGTGGACAGAATGCCAATAAGCACCGTAAGAGACCCCTTGACAAACCCACATGACAGTCACCGTAGCTGAAATCACACCACAGCCTCCTACCGGAGTTGCTCTTTCTTTGTGGGAGGTACTTATGAGAGGAGGAGGAAGGCAGTTTGGAGTACTAATAGCTTCCAAACCAGAAGGAAGGAAAAAGGGAAAATAAGAAGAATGATGTGAGAGAGAGAGAGAGAAGATGGCTGGCCATGTCACAAAGTAGTGGCATAGACTCCATCATCATCGGTTCCATTGTTTCAAGCTCGCCCCTTCTAAAAAGGAGAAGCAAGAGAGAGAACATCAATCATTCGTCTTCCACATCACAGGAGTCCTGATCCATCTCCTTGATTGTAGCGCGAAACTCAACACAGGTTCCCTTTTCCAATTTACTCTCTCACATGTAGACACCAACAAGGAACAAAAATGCCTGCCTTCTCCTTCATTATTTTCTGTGGGCTGGCAGGGGCTCACAAGCACCGTACGGCCGATGATGCCCTGAAAAATGTTCAATCTGAGGGGAAGCTTAGCGAGTGACTGTCTCTTTGGATGAAGGGATGCTAATCTTACTGTATAATTTATTATGACCTGATTAAATCTGAATCAATTCAAAATATTTAAATTAAAATTAATTATAATATATTCATCAAATCCTTAATCTTATTTCTAGTTCACTTTAATGTATCGTTAGAATGTTAAAATATCTCCCACATGAAGATTTAATGTATCGTCAAGATTCAATATAGTTAAAATCAAATCATAATGTGATGCATATGAGACATGATTCGTCGTATCATCGTCCATAAATAATTCTTTTCTATTTTAGCCCTTATCATGCCCTTGAGTCATATCAATTATCATAACTCAACTTAATAGGCTAATTAATCTGTTAACTTTATTAAGTCTGAACCATCGACTTAGTGGTGGCTTTATGTTATGACGTATCATCTACTCTGTTCGTAGATAAAGAAAAATAAACAATAGTAGACCTACAACCTAGTGGTGGCTTTATACTATGATGTATCGTCTACTCTATCCATAGATAATATTTTCCTACTAGATTCTTTTACTATGTCTCAATACTAAATCAACTTTAATATCGAGTACCATGATCCAACCTAATAGGATAATTAGTCTATTAATTTTATTGAGTCTAAATTACTGATTCAAAATACTTAAGTTGAAATGAATGGTAGTACATCAATGAGACACTTATGAGTTAATACTACAATTAGGTCAATTGAGATGTGTGCGTGTAAAAATAATATGCAAAAATATTGCTCATAGACTCAAAATTGAATTAGTTTTATCTTTGAAAAGCTATGTCATTTCTAATACAAGATGAAAAAGAAGAAGAAGGTCTCAATCTTCCTTACTGATTTATAGCACATTCTCAAGATTCATATACCGGAATCATTTTCTCATGGTCGACAATATAATAGCCCACAAGTCATATATCATCATTCTGCAACTCGTTGCAGTTACTAAGTAATCTTAAAAGCTGCTGCTCCCCATGCATACGTGCATAGTAAGAGCAGCGGTCACTACCAATACAAGATTATGCATCTTCTTTGTTGGAAGACTCACAAAAGCTGTAGACATCCAGGGTGACACTGGACGGGTACTGGTCATGCCTAAGCATTAATCCTTGTATATGGAAATTAAAGAGACGGGGAAAGGGTAAAGGAGCGGTGAAGGAGTCGTATCCACTGGAAACAAGCGTGACTAGATGTGCATCTGCGTTGCCTCAAAGGATGGAGGCGACAAGAAAGAATTATCATGATGAATGTCCAATGGCAATCATGCATGTTTCTGACGTTCCTTTCCCTTCAGTTGTGCCAAAGGTTGGCATCTTTTCCCTCTATACAGTACCGTGGAGAATGCTGTCTTTGGTCCGGTCAAACAATTCCCCCAAGCCAACGCTCCTTATTATATCAAAGATCCGAGATATCAAAGCTGATAGGAACGAGAGAGAGAGAGAGAGAGAGAGATGTTCTTACCGACACTTTTTGAAGCAGTGTGTCCTCCGCTAAGTGGTGGCTTATATGTGTTGGTGTGTTTGCTGACCTGCTGTTTGTAGCACAGAGAGTACAGCGAGTGATTGCGGAGGTGGACCTTTTTCTGTCACAAGAAAGATGGCGATAAAGCTATGCTTCTACTGCTGTTCTTGTGTTACCATATCATGGAGCTTGGTGCATCCTAAAAATAAGTTCCAGCTCAGTTTTTCTTCAGATGGGAGAGAAGAAAAGATGAAGATGACTGGACACATTCAGATCGATCCACACAGCAAAAGCAGACTCCAGAGAAGGATTGACATCACAAGACCAACCCAGCATTGCATGCTTTGAGATGATGAGAGTTACCTACTTAAGGTTTATTATACAAATGGAGGAGATCATATATTCTCTTCAAAATGTTCATGAGACTCTGAAACTAGACTTCTGGCTGACACTTGATGCCTTCTGTCTTCCTTCAGTTGGTTCCTATTCTGTTCTTAGATGTTTAGCATGCAGAAAACTGTGATTCAACTTCAGAAAGGAAAGAACAAGTAATGTTGCAGGCCATTTCCAGCTACCAGTAATGCCTGCTACCAGTTGGGATTGCTATTACAAGTAAAGTATGCATGACAAAGTGTCTGCCAGGATATATGATGAAGAGATCAAGAAATGGTTGCTGAACATTCTATGATCAGACTAAAAAGACCTAATAAGAACCACAATAAGTACAAAAAAGAGAATGACACAATACCTTCTGTAGTAACTCCTATCTGGTTTGGAAAAGAAAGATCAAACCAAGTCAAGAGGAAAAATTAAATTGGTTGTCTGCGTGACAGTTCCACAGACTTGAATTCATCCCTGCTGTGATCAACCACCTTTCTCTTGATCAATGTGAAGATGATTACAGCTAAAAACATGTAGATGAAGAGCTCACACCACTTTGTTCCTTAACCAGCAAGCATAGATCCATAAAAAATGAGAATTACAACCCTGCACATAGGAAATATGGTACATATGCAAGTTAATGGATCGTATGATGAGTTCCAAAGTAATCTACATAGAACTCCAAACTATGTGCATTGGATTTAATCTTATTCTATTTGAGACAGAACCACTGTCTGGTTATGAAAAACGTGAGAATAAGTTTTTGAAACACCTGAGTTTAAATTGACTCTATATTTGTTGCTTACTTACCAAACCAAATATATTACCATTTAAATAACTAAAAGGGTTTAAAATAATGAAATGAAAATTGTAAGATTTTGTAGCTCAATTAATTTAGGATAAAATATATTTAACATTTAATTGGATCTCGATTAAAGTTATCGACTAATAGAAAAAAAATTAATAAATTTACTTCAAATTTATGAGATAGTTTTAAATCTTAACACCATTATCTATGATAATTTTGATTTTAATCCTAATTTTATTATTAAAAAATAACTCGCTATGTAATCAATCAAGTGGCAGTATATGCGTGCACATGCAGCTCCAACCCATACACAGCCATGTGGGCTTACACGTGCTTCCGTCTCCTCCAAAATGGACCCGACACAACCTATAATTCCCACCTCGCATCTCGTGTTACGAAATATTCCCTTCATTAATAAACCCCATGTATGCTCTTATTAACTAAAACATATATATATATATATAGTCAACATATTCGAGAGAGCAGTCAATGCCTTCTATTTAGAAACAATATTTTCCTGCAAGCAGTTAAACAAAGACTTCGCTCATCAATCAAACGGATCGATCGGAACATCAGATTCCGAGCGACCTCTGTCTCTCTGGACGAAAGGACAGAAGAGACCGGACAATAACAAGAAAACCATTGTAGCGGGTCCCGCGTGGCCCCACCACGCCTGTCGAATGGGCATTGAGGGGAGGCTGCCCCAACCGCAGCGCAAAAGGTCCGCGCTTCCCCGCGTCGGATTCAAAACATTTCAAATCAGCGACCAGGGATTACTTTTGATTTCGTTAAAGTGTTCCGCGGGATATCTGACCGCATCGATTCTGACGCCTCACGGCGATCGATCCAACCCTTCGCTTTATCTTTACCTTCGCTTTCCAGCTTCCTATCGTTTCTTATCTTGTTTTCTTCGTTTTCTCTCGCGAAAGACGGGAGAGAGCAACGACAGAGAGGAAGGGAAAGGAGAGGCGATGGAGGTGTCGACGGCGATGTGGACGGCGGCGATTGTGGGGGCGGTGGTGGTGTACTGGTTTGTGTGGGTGATGGGA